CGACGAGGACTGCGATGATGAGCCCGAGACTTCTTCGGATGTTACTCTCCCGCCCTCGTCTTCCGCGACCATCACGGTTCCTCCCAGCTCCAGTTCGGCGGTCAGCTCTGCTGCTCCTGAGTCTTCGACCACCGACGAGGACTGCGATGATGAGCCTGAGACTTCGATTGACGTTACCGTCTCTCCCTCTTCTTCCGCCACCGTCACTGTTCCTCCCAGCTCTGCCGTGAGCTCCGCTCCCGAGTCTTCGACCACCGATGATGGCTGCGATGATGAGGAGCCCGAAACTTCTACCTATGTGTCTACCTCCGCGACCATTACCGTTCCCCCCTCAAGCTCGGCCATCAGCACCTCGGCCCCTGTTGTCTCTTCTTCGACCACCGATGACGGTTGCGACGATGAGGAGCCCGAGACTTCCTCGGTTGTCGTCGTTCCCTCTTCGTCCGTACCCGTCACCATTACCTCCGCGGCCCCTGTCTCCTCCACCACTTCCGCCCAGGAGTCCGACACCACCGAGTGGACCACCAGCACCATCGTCACCACCACCACCCGCACCATCACCCAGTGCCCCGTTACCGTGACTGACTGCCCTGCTCACTCCACCACCGTGACCACCGAGACCATCACCATCGGCACCACCGTTTGCCCTGTTGAGCCTGCTTCTTCCTCCGTCCCGGTCACCTCGGTTCCCATCACTATCCCCACCGTCACCTCCTCGGTCCCTGTCACCCACGTCACCGTCACTTCCGCGGCGCCTGTCTCCTCGACCTCGGCTGCTCCCGTCGAGTCTTCTTCTTCGGAGATTGAGTGGACAACCAGCACCATTGTCACCACCACCACTCACACCATCACCAAGTGCCCCATCACCGTCACCGACTGCCCGGCCGACTCGACCACTGTCACGACCGAGACCATCACCATCGGCACCACCGTTTGCCCCGTTGAGCCTACTACTTCCTCAGTCCCCGTCACTATCGGCACCATCACTTCTTCGGTCCCTGTCACCATGCCTATCGTGACTTCCTCGGCTGCTCCTGTCGTCCCCAGCTCCAGCGCCGTCGTTGTCCCCCCTCCTGCTCCCAGCTCCAGCGCTGTCGTCATTAGCAGCAACAGCCCCGTCAACAGCGTCTCCGTTCCTCCGGCCCCTGCTCCTAGCAGCGACAGCCCCGTTTACACCGCCACCGGCTCAGCTACCGGCAGCGTCTCTGTTCCTCCTCCCGCCCCGGTTATCAGCAGCAGTGCGGGCCCTGTCGGCACCATCAGCTCCGTCGTCGTCGTTCCCGTCCCTAGCTCCAGCGCCATCCCGCCCCCGCCTATTGAGGGCGCTGCCAATGGTGGTGCTGCGGCCAGGAACGGGCTGTTGGGTGTTGCCGGCTTGGTCTTTGCTCTTCTTTAAGAAGAGGAAGACTTTTTTAAACCAAGTTACGGACTCTTGCAAAACTTGCCTACCTAGGTATCCCTGGGTACCTTATGACACATACAACGTGGGGATGGAGGATGAACCTTTTATGATTTTTGGCTACTACCTATGAAGGATGATAGGATTGATTGATTGATGGACATAACTTTAGCTTAGCTTACGCTAGCACAAGATCACATAACATAATTCACTCCTTGTTTATATCTTCAATCGACGGTGTTTCTCTTCAGTTCATGCTGCTTTTTTCTTGATGGCATATCATGATCACCAATTTTTGCCTTGATGTCCACACAATGCTGTCTACCATAGATGAACGCTTCTTCTTCTTGCACTCAGAGCCAAATCCAACCTACCTTCCCGGCTGCCTGTCGTGGACTAACTACCTAGCTTGCCAGCTCTCTCCACCCAAACAACTCTAGAATTATTCCATTCCTTTTCCTTAGAATAGAGTCCTAGAGTCCTAGAGACATGCGCAGCAAACACACTGCACTGCCGTCTTCAACTTCGAACAGTTAGTCGACCGGTCCCGAGAATACTGTACAAGACGGAACCTTCCGTCCCACGTTTTCACGTGTCAGGGTCAGTCATTGTCTCGCCGCCAGTCGATGTCTCACCTCTCGGGAATCGGGACCAAAGAAATGGAATGACATGATCGACCCAGATACCCGGGCTCCCGTGTTGTTGTTGGGGACCCCTGATCTGGGATCTTCCCATCTCGGATCTCTCATCGTGTTTTGTTGGTGACAAAGGGGTAGTGGATTAAAGGAACAAAGGAACAAAGGAACAAAGGAATGGAAAAAGGGACGGGGCGGACGGGTAGAACGTTCTATTCGGTTTCTGGAAGGTTTCCATTGATTAGTATAGGGCGATGGCGTAGCCGGACAGCCAAGTGCAGGAATGAAGTAGTGCAATCGGCACCGAGGACTACGATCCGTACGGTTGCACAGTAGCTGAGAATCGACGAAAGCCACTCTGACTTGGATAGGCATGTCTCCTCGTAACTAGTTCTATGAGAGTTCATTCATCTCGCTTGTCCCGTCAATCACTCATATGGCTGAATATTTTGGGGCCCAAATGTTTTCTTGATCTAATCTCCCATGGCTTTGATGTGATACAACCCATAACTCTTCCACATCAACTGATACTCCATTGCCAATATACGCTGGTCATGATGATATCTACCATAATCCGCAAAACAACCGCTGAATCTTTTAACAATATACGATATTTCCCCACACATTACCACTCCTGTGTAGAGCCTACCTATAGCCTAGAAACCCTCCTGCCAGCTTTTACCACCCGCCCCTCGTCCAACACAATCTCAAAGTCCGCATCCTTAACAGCCTCCACCTTGTGCGCAATCGTAATCACGGTGCTGTACCTCAACTCTCTTCTCAGCAACTGGTGAATGTACGCTGCCGTCTCCACGTCAATCGACGCCGTCGCCTCGTCCATAATCACAATAGCACTCCTTCGGAGAATTGCTCTGCCTAGTCCCACCAGTTGGCGCTGGCCCTGGCTGAGATTCTTGCCACCGCCATCCACTCTGGTGTCAAGTGTGAACCCGTTGTCCAGGACTGTCTTCAGGACCTTGGCCCGCTCGTCCTCGCTGTGTTCATCTAAGGGATCAAGATTATCCCTTAGCGTACCGGCAAAAAGGACCGGATCCTGCGCCACAAAGGTTATGTGTCGGCGCAGTATGTGCTTGTCCACTTTGGCGATGTCAACAGAACCTATACGGATCTGGCCGCCTGTACCCGCATCAGGCTGGATCGTGCTGAGCAAAGCATACGCGAGCGTGCTCTTGCCGGAGCCAGTCCTACCTGACACCGCCACAGTCGATCCGCCGGGAATGGCCAAGCTCACGTCCGTCAGAACGGGGTCATACTCTGGTGCGTAGCGCAACGTCACCTTGTCGAAGACGATGTCATCAGTATAAGAAGGCCAACCAGCCGGAGGCGGGTTATCAGTGTTTTCTTGCTCCTGCTCGAGACCGAGAAGCTCGATGATGCGCTCAACGCTGACGAATTGCATTTGCATGTCTCCATAACGACGGCAGACCTGATGCGTGCTCTCCACAAAGTTGGCAGCGGCGGCTAGTACGAAGCCGACCATGCCGCTAGATAACCCGTGGGAAATGGCGGTCAGGGTCAGGGCGTATACTGAAAAGCTTGATACAAGATCGAAACGGTATTGTAACCAGGCCTGCAATGACCAGTAAATGTGGTCCATCTTCTGGAAATCATCGGTTGTGGCGATGATGCGATTCTGGAAATGTGGTTCTGCGCGGAAGGCACGTACTGTCGTCAAGCCTTCGAGAAGCGTGCCAAAATTCGACAAAAGCGGCGACAGGGAGACCATCTCCAGACGACGCAAGTCCTGGGATGCTGGTAGGTACTGATTATACATGTAGACGAATAAGGCGGTCATGCCAACGCTGAGCACAATGAAGATCGGTGTTGCTGTCGCTATCACTAGCATCGAGGTCATCCAGCCCAGACAATGGAACGCTAGGAGTAACACCTGGACCGCAATCTGCCCGTCAATCGTGCCAATGTCGGAGGTAAGACGATTCATGAGCCGACCAACAGGTGTCACATCGTAGAAGCGGAATGTGGCATTCGTGACACAGCGCATGGCCTTGGCGAAGAGGGACTTTCCGGCATTGTAGATGATGGCGATGAGGGCAACATCGGATAGAGCTTCGAACAGGATCTGGACCAATGCGATGATTGCTAGGCAGATAAGCCAAGGTCGTACATTCTCTTCAGGTGGAGAAAGCTGCCGACCAGGCTCAATGAGGCCGTCGGTTTTGAATCCAGGTTGGGAGATCAAAGTGTGTAGCCCATAATCGAGCTCGGTTGGCTTCCGATATTGTTCACCCCATTCTTTCAAGAACCAGTTGTAGCCGAGGTTGGTCAACCGGATGAGTAAACAGAGCGCAACCATCGTCGCCCACCAGGAGAGTTTACCAGCCTTGACATATTGCCAGTAGACGGTGGCCATAACACCGCCATGTACCCTGTGTTCTTCCTGGATAAACTTAGCAACCATCGCCGCCATCTCCTCTTCATCCGACGAGGAAGCGTCGGTATGTTGGCTAGTAGAAGATTCGGCGCTTGATGAACTCTGCGGTGCTGTAGCGGTCTGTGCTTCCAATTCCTTCTCGTGTTCCGCAATCTCCCTTCTGTTAAAAGTATTAACTTGTCCACCAGAAACGATATCCAGAACTTGATAGGCATATTGCTTAACAATATCGACGCGGTGAGTAACCAGTACGATCAACCGACCCGCCGTCAGTGGCGAATGTTTGTCGGCAAAGAGGTTGCGCGAGATGGTTTCGGCGGTTTGGTGGTCAAGGGCAGCGATAGGATCATCGAGAAGCAGAATCCGACTCCTGCTATAAACAGCCCGGGCGAGAGCCACACGTGCCCGCTGGCCCCCGGAGAGCCCTACCCCATTCTCTCCAATAAGGGATCTATCTCCTCCCTTAAACTTTCTGAGGTCTTCCACAAGGCAGCAGGCCCTGAGCACCTGCCAGTACCGTGTTTCGTCGAAGGGGGTACTGAATAAGATATTGTCACGAATACTCATGCTCTCGAGCCACGGCATCTGAGCACAGTATCCGATCATTTCGGCAGGGACACTCTTCTCACCAGAATGCTGGTCAAGCTCGCCCAAAATAGCTTGTAGTAATGCCGTCTTGCCAATGCCAACCTTACCACAGACCAATGTTAAACCTGGCTCACAAACAAAGGAGACGTTATTCAGGACAGTTGTATCAGAACCTGGCCACGAGAAAGATGCACCCCGGACAGAAATGTCCAGACTACCCGGTAGGAGGGCAGCGGCTGGTTTGTCATCTTCGTTGTCGTCCTTGTCCGGCTCCAGCATAAAATCCTCAATGCGACGCATGGCAACTCTGGCGTTGATCAGAGATGTGTAGAGTGGAGGCAGTTCCCGGAGGTTGTTCTGCAACATAGTGAATAGACCAAGGGCTGGGAAGGCAATGTCGACTGTTAGAGGCTTGCGCAGAATAAGCGTATATGCCGCGAATCCGACAACAGGAAACATGTATGAGGTAGTGTTGTTGATGATGTTCATGCCTCTGCTGACAACATTGCTTTTGATGCGTTGCAACAACTCTTTCTGTCGAGTTTCCATAATATTCTCAAGCCATCGGTCCTGCCAATCATACCAGCGAAGATGACGAAGTGATTCCACAAACTGACTGGTACGCTCGAGCTTGACGTCGGTTATACCACGACGCTCTTTCTCTACCCTTTCAAGCAAGCCCATCATGAAATAGTTCACAACCATGCCGAAGCCGATGACAAGGATGCCGAACAATGAAGCAGATCCCAAAATCTTCCACAGAAGAACGATGGAAACAATGACACTGAGTGGCTTTGTGATGAGTGTTGATGCCTCCCAGAATCTTTGGGCCACCTCATACACGTCACCGCGGAGGAGGTTGAGGATTTTGCCAGTTGATGCAGGCGTCTCCTTTTCTCCTTGAGATAAGACCACAGGACTTTGTTTTGAGCCCTGGTACACCCCCTTGGCCCAAGACTTGAGAACACGGAATCGAGAAGGTTTAACATCCTCGTTGTTAAAATCATCCAGGGAATCATCTTCTTCCCCCAGCAACGTAGTAGCTTGTGAGCTTGGCGGGGACAGTTCCGTCGCAATAGTGAAGGCCTTCCGGCGTAATGTCTTGTCGTGAATCATGGTGATCATTTCGCCGCGCGACCGCTCGTAGTTGCGTCGTTCATACCAAATTCTGAAGACGCCAGACTGAGCTTTGAGAAGTCTTGCGATGAGAATGAGGCTGGTATAGATAAAGGCTGGCCGCATGGTAGCGGTTTCTGACATGAGTGCATTGAGAAGCTGTTTGAGTAGAATGGGCTCTGACAAGTCAGCCAAAGTCTCGAGTGTTCCGAGGCATGTTGTCAGGATGAGATCAAGACCATTCGCCTTGAGCAACCTAACAAGTACAGTGCCAGTCAATTCCCGAAAAAGGAGGTGCAGTTGCCGGTGCTGGAAGTCGGATGCCAAAAGCCACACGTCTTTATCGTGTAACTGCCTCTTGCAGGCAGTAGATATCAGGGGTCCCATCCAGGACACAGACATCCACTGCCAAAGAGTGACGATGTCTTCAGGGCTTCGTACACTGGAATCCGGCTTGGCGAAAGGCTTCCCGATCTTGGAGCTACTCAATAGCGGGTCTCGCAGGGGCATGTTGAGCATGACGATGATGGATGCTAGAGTTATACAGCCACCTCCGGCCCAGGTTGCAAGGCATTTCCATGCCGTTCCGATGGCGCGTGGGGCAAGCGTGGTAAGTGTAAGTTGAACGAAGAAAAGCGTGGCGGCGATGGTAAAGAGCGATCTTCGGACAGTTCTGGGACGATCGACGAGAATGAGCAATGCCGATAGTATCTGCGTCGGAAGTCAGTACAAAGTCCAGGACAGACCCATGCATTTCACCAAGGAGTCGCATCTTACGTTGGGGATGAGAGGTATGAGATGTAGCTGGATTTCAGTGGGGCTTTGATGGGCCATGGCGGCACCAAATATGCTCATGACGGCACCGGTGAGATTGAGGACGAGCAGACCAAGACTCCAGCGTGTCCATATCTTCTTGCGAGAAAATACGATCGGTCGATTCCGCAACAGTAACGGAGTATCTTCGAAGCTTTCGTCATGGTTGGCGCTGGCTTCTTGATCCTGGGTTTGAAACCTGGTATCGTCTTTTTCGGCAGTCAAGTTTCGTAGCCAGATGGGGCGCCATCGATCGAACCAGACAAGTGCATAGTGAAGCACGAAAACACAAAGCGAGATCCAAGCGGGGATGTGGCCGACGATTCCAAGACAGTGCGGTCCAAAGTTGGCGAGAGAGGGTATCTGTAGATGTGTGTTAGCGATGAATCTGCTACAAAGCCTCGGGTTTTACTTGAAGGCGCCGTAAGCAGGCACGGCTCGGATACGGTATCCGCGTGTCTTTGCCCGAAGGATATTGAAACCAGAGCAGGAAGAAGATGAAGTATTTGCAGCCACATACCCAAAATTCCCGGCAACAACTGTAGGAGGGCCATAGATCGGCTAAGCCGTACCCTGTGATGTCTGCCATTTTAATATGGAAGAGGAAACACGTCTGATGAGTTTTGTGGAATCCTCGCGATGAAGACGGCTGTTGCTGTTGGGTGGTCGCTATGGCGGTTGCTGGACCCTAGCGTAGCCCGCCGGAAAAGAGTGAAAAGGATGAGAGACCCAAAAGAGTGCGTGGTGGAAAAGCCAGCTTCCGGTACATATGTATGTATGGTTTTGGTGTGGTTGTTGGATTGTGGTGTTTCTTTTAGACATGACCGCCTTCAGCATGCTATGTAATGTTGACGCATGCTAATGTTGCCTTGCCTCACGCAGGGCGAGGACGCATTGGAATAAGCCTTATGGGGCCTGAACGATGCTGACCGATGTAGTAAAATGAGGTGGTTCCAAAATGTTCAGGCTCTAATGATGGTAAGACAGCAAGCCAGCGAACCCAACACTTGCAGCAAGAGACGGAAAAAAAAAGACGTTGGGAGGTTGAAGAGAGACAAACGGAAGGCAAACCTCGAATTGATGATGGTTGGATGCTTAAGAAGAGGAGGAGGAAAAGAGGCGGAAGAGGACTGGAGGAGAAACAAAACGTAAGCCTGGAAAAGTGATTCAATGTGCAGGAAATAGCTTCCTCTAGGCCAGTGGTGCCTGTCATGCCTGCCATGCCTGCCTCACTGCAGCACGAACGCACCCTAGAGGCAGGAGGTCCTCGGTGGTCCACAGATATCGCATGTGTTGTCCCCGCCTGCTGCGAGTTGAGGTGGAATTGAGGTTGTAGCCGAGACGCTAGAATGGCTAGTCTTTGGCTCTCAGTGGCCCATAGCTTCCGAGAAGCGCGCGGGGCAGCAGGCCCAGACGACGCCGGCAGTCCCTCGGGTACGTCTGCCCTGGGCTAGAAGGAACAAACAAACCTCATCTTGATCCGTGTGCGAGGCTCGGGAACTGTTCAAGCTGCATCTGGTCGATGCGGATGCGGGAATGAAGGAGGTGGTGATGCATATGTGATCCATGCCGCCGTCTCATTGAGGCAAATGCACAAGCCATATCAATACCTATTCCATCTTGGGCTGTTGTCTGCTCTCTATGAACCAATACCCTTGACGCCTCGCCCAAGTGACCTTTTTGAATATCAGAGAGCTTGAAAAGAAACGAAAGTCACATTCCCGGGGTATAAAGCCTAAACCAAAAAGAACAACACAAAACCCACGCATTATGCACCTTCTATGACCTCCCGCCCCGGCCCTGAGACAATGCGGTTGTCTCACCTGCTAGGTCCGCTGCCCCCCACTCCGTGCCCGAGTATCGTTGCGCAGCAGCATCCGACACTCTCCATTTTGGCGATAGCGCTTGTGTCGACATCTCGACTGGCTGGCGATCGCAACCCTGGAGCTCAGCTCGGCCCCGTTCTTTCATCTCCTTTGCTTTCTTTGGGGGTTTGGGTTGTTGAGCTTCCTCCCCGGTATAGGCCAAATCATATGGCGATTCCCAGTTGAACCCGCTCGTGCGTCGATCAGTCGGCTTTGATGAAGGTCTCCATTTGGCGTCGAATTCGCCCGAGTTGCCAGAGGTACTGCCGCCCTCCTCAAGGGCGCGCGCTTCAGCCGGAGTCGGTATGAGCAGCATATTGCCGTGCTGCTCTGGGAGCATCGGGTGCGACTCTTCCCCGTCCTTTTTTCCTCTTATATCGCACAAAGAGCATGATCAAGCCTGCCAACACGGCCAGGCCAGCTGCTGTCGAGCCAGCAATGATTCCTGCTTTTGCTCCTGTCGATAACCCATCATCTTCGTCTACCCTATCACTCCCCGTCCGCGACGACTCGGCATCGCTCCCGGACGTGGCCGTTTCCACTGGTGCGCTTTTGACGGTGGTTCCTGGGGGTGATGTCGATGTGATGAACGAGGCGGGCGCTGAGGTCAGAGTCGAAACTGTAATTGAGATTATGGTTGCAGTTGCAGTCGCCTTGGTCGGTCTCGCCGTACCAGTAAAGCCGGCAGCCGAATAGTACTGTTCTTCACCAACATTCAACGGCGTATTATTTGCGGCACAGGTGGATTTCAACCTGCTATACACCTCGGCAAGGTCTCCGGGATCCGACTCTGCCAAACACCTGGCCGTCCCAGTAAGAAAATTTCCTCCATTGTTGCAGAAGCATGAGTTCGCCTCAGAAAGGGTCCCCGAGGCACAGTTGGATGTGGTGGATGCTTGGTTCAAGCAGTCATATGCAGTGACCGGAAAGTCGAAGAAGTCGATAGTGACAGCGACGCATGGGATGGATGTGAGAACAAGCGCAATTAGAGCTGGCGGGAGGATTGACAATCTATGCAGTCCGAGCATTGTGTCCGAGTCCGTTGGTGCTCCGGCAGTGTACCAGGTTCGAATTCTCCGCCAAGGCCGAAAAGGGGTGGTTACAGTATGTGACCTTGAAAAGCTGGTCGACCAAACTGAAAAAAAGAAAGGTAGGCTATCAAGGCCACCCCCAGCGATTATGGTGTTGTCGAAGAAACTTGAAGCTCAAAAGCCTGACTGATGGCGAGCATAAACGAAAGACAAAATCCATCCAGAAGTGAAACCAACAGAGTAGCGAGCGTGGTGGGAGAGAGCATGAGGGAAATAGCGGAAGCGGAAAAGGAGAGGAGAGGAATAAAAGACGAGGCAGGAAGCTGACGAGAAAAACGACGACGACAACGACAACGCGGTTCAAGACGCTAAAAGAACCCATGCACCCACCATCTTGGGGATATGGGTCCCCAGGTCCCCCAGGTCCCCTACTCGTGCAACGATACAGTCCCCCTGTCTGGGGCTGGGGAGAGCTTCACCTGCCTTGCTGGGCGGGCATTGCGGCTGAGGCGTTGATCTTGGGCTAGGCTTGGACTGGCTTGGTCAAGTTGAAGGGTCTCTAACCCATTCGGTGTTAGGCCCTATAGGCCCGTGGCTCGTTAAACGGCGGTCTTGGTGAGAGGGAATCGAGACCTCGACGAGTTGCTTTTCGTTGCACCATCCAAGCCCAGTGTTTTTAGGCCAATTTCGGGTGAGGAATGACGTGAGATTTTGGACTCCAGAATGTTGACGAGATGGATGGCGGGAACTCTTTCCTTGAAGAGTATGATGATGCTTCCCAGGAAAACAAGCCCTTGACGGCGGGACAACCGCCTCCTTGTCTGGCCATGGCATGGGCCCGTGAACTCCCGTCGGCAAACTGACGGCGTGCAACAGAGTGCAGCGTCCCAGGCACGCGGCAAACCACTGCGGCATCGCCAAAAGGCGCTCAGCAAGCGTGTGGCACAGCCTTCCAGCGCGCTTGGAAACCAGGAGGTAGACGCCGTGCCGCCATCCATTCAGTTCCATCAAGTGGATATCGATGCTTTATGATGTCCAGTGACAGCGAACGACGTTGTATCGCAAAATCCATAGCCATGGACGCCATTACCGGCGTCGGCCGCTCCTAAAGGTGGGCATGGATGGTCGATAGGTTAGGTACCGGGGAATATCAGGAATGAGGTGGTGTCCAGATCGGGTCATGTTTTTCGAGATTGATATCTGTGGCTTGATAGACAATCTGGCAATTAATTGTTAGCGAGGCAGTCCTTCGTTATCACAGGCCTTGTTGAGCCACCCTAGGGTTGGTCTGTACGAGTCCAGTCCACTCGTTACATCCCTCGCAGAAGCCCATCTTTGTTTGCAGGTGTCGGGTCTTGGGAAGACGGGACAGTGAACGGACCATCGCTATCCGTCAGGACACTGGGCAGCTAACTGGCAATATACGCTTAATCTGTGTACGAAATATAGCAACAGAACAATTTACAAAGCTGCAGAATTGCTCTTATCTTGTAGCTCTCGCCATTTGTGTTGGTGGGCTTGTTTTCCCTTCGCCTTTCCTGCGCAGTAGACACATACCGGTATGTTAATTTGCTCTTTGCCAGACGACAAGCATCTTTCGCCTTTTCAACCGCATATAGCTCACGACAGCCACATTTCACGATGTGTTCCATTCACTCCCTCGACCACGTTCCACAGCTTCAATCTGTATAGTGTATCGTCGTATATACGATGTAAACAGACCGCGATGACGGAAATGATCCGGATGATCAACCAGGTATTCATCAAGCTGTTCTTCCGTCCAATTCGGCGGTAACACCATGTGCATTCCGCTCATGGTTTCCATTTCTGCCATTCACCCAGCCCTACCATTCACTTGCTCTTAGTTACTATTCACGAGTCCCCTTCTGTGAGGTCGACAACAGGCCTCGGTACATCCCGTCTGGGGTTACAGGGGTTTGCCAGCCCGCCAGCCACGGTCACACCTTCCAACAGGATCATTGGTGAGCCCCTCACTTCGCCAAACAAGAACAGCAGTTGCGGATGACTGTTGAGCACTGACCCTGGACAGCTTGATCATTGAATGCATTCAGTTTTGCATGTCTCATATAAACCTGTGCACATCAGTTCACCAAAGCTGTTCATCATCTCCAAGCACCTTGCTGGCACACTAATATATATGCTATCCCCCAAATCTTCCTGACCTTTCGTTTCCGAGTTGTCTAATCCCCCAGGCTTAGTACTTTTACGATACGACGGTCAAGCTGTCCAGCTTATGCCGTAAACAATAGCTCATCTGTTCTCGAATTGTTGACATGTTCGCAAGAGAATGGTCCAAGCGCAAACCACGACCGGCCTCGCTCACGCTCTTGGCATATACAGGACTGTCCGCAAGAACAATGCCATTGTTCTCCTACAGCTCCTGAGCTCGGTGAATGTTTACTTCGGAGGGGCCACATAGGGGTCAAGGTTCGGATCAAGGTTCGTCATCCTGAACAGCCCACTTCAACCTAGCTGTTCTTCTCACTGTTCAGATGACAGCGACTCGAACTCGGCCTTATAGCCTCTCTATTCTGTTGCCACCGTGTAGGGGACCATGTGAAGGTTCAACATCTACCAACAGTCAACTCCCTCCTTCACGGGTACTTGAGCAACTTCTCCCACCAAAGAGTGAGCTTCAAACTTCTGCCTCCTCACACCACTTGACAAACCTCAAGACCGTCATCCAAGTACCTCGCAGTACACGAAGACCGACACACACCTAAAACACCAAGACAGAAACAATCCTTAACACAAACAACATGATGGCACCTGCATCATCCCCTCAAGGTAAGCAAGCTCCCTCTCCCCGGTCTTGAATCCCTCCTTGTGTGAAATTTGTGAAGCTGACCTTGTTCAACAGACCTCGTCCAGCTCCTTAGCAAGCTATCGGTTGGCCAGGATTACAGGCGCAGACCGAGAGGCTGCCCCAAACCCGGAGTGCTTCAGCTTTCCAACGGGATTGAGATCCACAACCTACCCGTACCAGCCGACCACCTGCCAGGCCGACACTGGGAGAAGAAGGCGCGCGAGGCCTTGCCCATGATATTCTACCAGCCATCCCTACCCATGCCTCCGGTTCCTCGCGGACTCCCTTATTACCCCGGCGGAAACACCGACATCGTTGGCCTCCCTACCATCCCTTCTCTGCTGGCTATGCCCAGAGTATTCCCCGCTCACCAAGGATTCCCAGAGTGTAGCTCGCCAAGTATCGAAAAGCTCAAGCATTCAGGCTATGCGGCCCTGGGCTTCTGTATGCGCGACGCCCGAGTCGATCCGGCTACTACGATGCCTCCTTGTGCCATCGATCCGCAGCTAGCGCACAATGGAGTGGTGCGGACGTGTGCTGACCGCTGCCATCTCGAGCCACACAAGCTTTGCGAGGGGTGCAGTGACCAAAGCAGACTTCTCGTTCTCAATGGGCTGCCTGAATGGTTCACCAATACCCAGATCATCAAGTCGCGCGCCTTCGTATGCGCCCCTTGTTCTGCGGAGGAGGCCGAGCAGCAACCTCGATGGGCGGAAGCCGAAGCGCGACTGAACCACGGCCCAGTACACTTTGAAGGAACCAACGACATTTACGAGCCTAGAGCTATCGCCAAAAGCATGATGCGCTTCCACGATGACACCACATTTCCGGTCGCCACACCTCCCACCTCTAACTCGCTGGCTCAAGCGCTCGCCGACAACGCGCCCAGCCAATTCCGCACCGCCAAGAAGATGTTTCGGTGCTCCTGCCAGAAGCTGATTACGGCGGACTTATGCCTCGGTCACAGGCTTCTGAGAGCCGACCAATTCCTGGACCAAGTCTATCGCCTCAACGAGTGGGTTCAGTTTCGGTTCAGCCTGCGCGAACAGGACCATAAGCCATGCCCCAAGTGTATGACTCGTCATGGCGTCGACGCCTACAATTTCAGGAACAAGGAGGGGGGCGCACATCTGAATTCCATTAACTGGATCTGTATGTGCTGCCAGGAGACGGTGTCGATGTCGCGATATGAGTTTTTCCAGCGAGGCGGCGGACTGGGCCAGGAGAAGGACGACCAAAGACTGGCGGAGTTGATGGGAGGACTTGGCTTCTAAAACATGTGAACGCCAACATGTATGGACGAAAGCTCGGGAACAGGCCCGTTGTCGTTGCCATTGCCGAGAAGGAAATCGAGTGCTGGATCAACCCCGTGGAAGAATATCTGTGATGGACTAGAAAAGTTCTTTGGGGAAGGGACAGGACTGGGGACTTGGACTTGGGAATAGGGACTAGAGGTATGTTTCAAAGCCTGAAGGCGGGCCGGGACACAAGGGAGTTGGGCAAATTCATTGTTGAGACAACCTGGAGCATTGGAGTTTGTACGAGGAAAAAGGGTTTCATCAGAAAGACTTCGGAAAAGTCAGGTTGTGGTACAAGGACATGTATGGTTTATGGAGTTGTAGGTTGGTTTGGGATTCCGAGCATGGGTTAGCGGGGATTCAAGACTTTCTCCTTATTGTCAGTATTCCTTTTCCAGCATACCTTCTAGACCGCTCCGATACCTCAAGTTGGATTAATATTGCTCTGTGATATCTGCTGGTCGTGATAATGCCTTGAGTGAATACGTGTCTGTTATGAGTGCCTGCAATATGATCAGTGATTGAGATCCAATAACCCGTGGAGCGAAGCCATCCAGATACGCCAAGAAATGTATAATTGATGTGCAGATCAGCAACGTCTTAGTTGCATGGTTGCCAAGACCGGTGCATTCGTATAAGTTCCTCGAATATGCATGGCAGTCACCATCAAGGCCACTTAGGAAGGAGTGATGGTGAAGAATCAGCAGTTGCCTGAGACAAAGATTGTCGAAAGGAAGGCGAATGCAGCCATCTCTTAGACGGGAAGGTGCAGTGCTTCCTCCATATGGAAACCACAGAAAACACCAAACCCCGCGCCTGCCATCCTATCATTGTGGTGTGATCTCCGTATGACGTATTGAAGGGCCAGCCCAATATATCTGTTTGGAATCTTCTCCAACTTACTCCAACTGTCGGCTTTCTCCTCCTTTCAACAAACAAAAACACCACCACACTACTCTGCTTCAATCTTGCTGTACAACCACACTTCAAAGCCTTGTTCACATCATCTCGAAAGTCCACACACATCACATCAATTGAACAAAAACAGTCAACAAAAAGACACCCTCATCCAGCCATGTCTACCGAGAGCAAGACTTTCAGCTTCATCGGCGAGGTCGTCGAGAGTGCCGTTATCAAGGCCCCCATCTCGTTTGTCTGGCACTTCATCAAGCTCCAGGAGTTTGACAAGTTCTGGTCTGCTATCTCCAAGGCCGAGCATGTCAAGGGAACCAGCGACGAGACCGACATCGTGAGGTGGACCTTCAAGGATGGCGACGTCGTTGAGCTCAAGCAGGACGAGCACAGCGTAAGAAAACTACCGTGTCCTTCCAAAGCGAACGTTTGTCGTTAACCCGTTTCCTACTACGCAGTCCCTCGAGCACTTCATTACCTTCAGTGTCATCAACGCCGAGCCCAAGTTGACCTACTCCAGCGTCGTCAATACCATCCGTCTCTGGGCCGTAACCTCTGGAGAGTTTGCCGGCACCACCTTTGTCCGTTGGAGCACCAAGTTTTCGAGCGATGCCGATCTGGGTAAGCAAATATGCACGCACATGTATGTGTTCACGTTGCTGATAATTCTGTCTCCCAGGTGTTATCGAGGATGCCAAGTACAAGCGTCAAGATGCCTTGAAGGATCTGTCCAAGGCGGCGGAGAAGCTCGCTAAGGAGAGGAAGTAGAGTGGAGGCTTACGGGGTCACACAGGTCATTGAAGAGGACCGATTATCAGGAGACGGTGAACATGGAGTTTTGACATGGCCGCTCTGATCAAGGATACCATTACGAGCTAAATTACACATAACAAGTTCCAGTCACTTACCACATCCCACATATACTACCGTTCCATGATGTTCAAGAAACGACTGGTGACTGATTGACATTAGACGCAAAACGTGGCCGGCTCGAGGTCCAAGCGATGACACATCGACATGTGAATGGTGTTGGCTTCATCCATTGTAGGAGGACCCAAATGGGCTACCGTCGGGACAAGCAACGTGGGAAATAGGTAGCCCGCATCTAGCTGAGGAAGGCGAGTCCAGAGCCATGGATCGCTCCAGCCCTGGCTTATGATCAACGAAATCGAAGCAAACGGACAAAGTATTACATTTGACCGCCATTAACGACTAATTGCAGAGTGTTCAAAACGCAGCCCCTTCCATCCCTTCCCAGCCCCACGACCCTGACAGCTGCCCCTCCAAGTATTTCAGGCACAGTCGAAACCACTGACTCCCTTGAATGCCAAAACCCCACACCAGATCGAGTCACTTCTTCTCCAGCTGCCTGTGACAACACATTTTAGCGGCTCTCTTTCCTTGGTCTGACACATCCAAGGGGCTCTTCTTGCCGACAGCAACGGTTTGCTTTTTGAGGTCAGCACCCCTTCCACTTCTACAAAAGCCCCAACTGCCTCCTGCAATTTCTAGCTCCAGCTTGTCACACCTTACATTCTCATTGCCTGTACAGACATTTCGACGCTATGTCCGGCGAAGCAGGCGACCAAGAACAGAAATCTGTCCCACCAGCTGATCCCGCACCACCCGCGCCAGCCTCAGAACTCGACGGCAACGAAGCTAGAAGTGCTTTTGGAGACCACCACTCCGCAGCCGGAGACCATCACTTCACAGGCGGAGACCACCACTCGACAATCGGAGACGCAGCAGCCGGAGCAGCAGCCGGAGCAGCCACTGGTGCAGCTACAGGCGCAGCAGCAGGTGCCGCAGCAACACACGGGCACACCACAAACCCTCTCGGTCACACCCACCAGCAGCCGCCTATCATCTACACGATGGCCTCCCCCTACTTCGTCTTCCCGGGCGGTGGTGGCTACGGTGCCCAAACGACCACCACATTCTTCCACGCTCCTCCGCCCCCTCCTCCCCCTCCTCCGCCGCCCCCAATGCCGTTCGTGACCAACACCGTCACCACCACGACCTATCTCACAGGCGGCTTCGCACCCCAGGCACCTCCGCCGCCGCCTCCCCCGGGTCCGGTCACTTACTACCCCGTCCAAGTCCAACAGGTCCAGCAGGCCCCGCAGGTCGTCAACGGATACGCGTACATGCCCGGTGGAACGGTGTTGCCAAATAGCAGTGTTGTGGGAGCTGCTCCGCCTCAGGCTGCCCAACAGGGACCGCCGCCGATGGTTGTTTGTGTTGCTCCTTAGTATTGAGGTGGCATTTTCGGCTCCTCGTTCGACCAACGCCCAGATGGGAAGGAAAGGAGGAATGAAGGAAGAAAGCGGGGACGAGAAGAGAAGAAGGGGGAAGGGAGATACATAAAGGGCTGGAAAAGGAGGGTCGGGGCATGACAGTCAGATATTGAGGGAGGGAGGACGTCATTCGGATCGGTATAGTGGAGTGACTGATGGAAGGAAAGCATGAATGGGGTTGAAAGAGAGGTGAAATGGTTTCGAGCACTCGTCGACAGGACTGGAAGCAGAAAAGAAACAGGTATAAGGTGGGAGGATATGAAGAATATAGAGTCGCGTTCCCTGGATCTGCGTGCGGTTGAGTTTGAACATCGAGCATTTGCCTGCCTTCCCTTCTTGTTTTCCGCTCTACATCAATCGATCACTCTTAAAGATTATGGGACACTCGGTTGCGTCACTACGAGAAAATATAAATAGACGATATCAATCCACAAAACACTGCATTCAACCACAAGCCCATCGCAAAAGTATATGGGCTTCTGATTGCACGTGGGCAAGTTATAGCATTTGATTTGGCATACAATATGAACTACCTAGAGGCAAGCATATCGGTGGTACACTAAACCAGGACCACGACACCAGATTCCACGGCTCGTTAACCCAACACACCCTACTTCTGCCCACTCCCTTCAGCAGGATACAAAACAACAGTAACCATCGCCCTGCTCGGCACGCTCACACTCCCTTCCCCCTTCGCCTCATCAAATCCCGTCTCAACCATCGCAATCTCCCTCGTATTATCCGTCACCCACGCCTTGACACTTCCATATCCCTTCCCATCACCGCCAGCGCCCACCTTAACACCCAACTTGACCGCACTGCCACTCCCATTCAACACCACCGTCGCCACACTCCCATCCTCATTTCTAAAACTCGCAATCTTTACCCCACTCGGCAATGAACTTCCACCACTCGTACTAGTCCCAACCCTCCTCGCCCCGGGTCTCACAAACCGACTCCACATGCCCATAGCCCACATCCGCTTACTAGCCTCCACCTTCCCCGAACTACTAATATGCACCAGGTGACTATTCGTATTCCCACTTTGCGCCCCAATCCAGTACAAATACGCACTAGCATTCGCGTTCACCAGCGCCGTATACACATTATTCGCCCACGTCCAACCCTCGCCCGCTCTGTTACCAGTGCCGGTAGAAGAGTACCAAGCATTTGTCCATGCACCCTGCAAGTCCGCGGCTTCGGTTTGCCATGTTGGTAAGCGGGTGTTAAGCGGGGAAGAGGGCGAGGAGGTGTAGGCGTGGGAGGTTATTATAGATAACAGAGACTCGGCGGAGGAGGATTTCAAGGTGGAGAGCATGGAGGAGGTGGTGGACCAGCCTTCGGCGTCGCAGCAGGCTATTCCTGGGGCCGAGGTGAGGAGGCTGGAGGAGACGGCGCGGAGGAGGGTGGGGTGCAGGATTTTGATGAAGTCGGCTGCTTGCGATGCTGTGAAGCGCATTGAGGCGTAGGAGGTTCTGGAAAGGTTGGGGGTTGGGGGAGTTAGTGACACTGGTACGGATGAGGGAAGGGGTGGAAAAGACGAAGAGAGGATAGATGGAGATAGGGAGGAGACATACGTGAGCTCTGGCTCGTTGATGAAGCCCAAGTGGGTGATGGTTACGTTGGCTTCCTGGTAGAACTGGACGTATCTGGTAATGTCCTCGTCAGTTCGTAGTCCATGGCATATCACTTCCCTTCCCTTTCCCCTATTACACCATTTAACCCCTCACTCTCCCGTCATTTGATGCAGCAAACAAACCTCCAGTCACTCACCTAACCAAATAATTCGCATACGCCTGCCTCCAATCCCCACTCTTACAACTACTCGCCCCCGGCACCCCGCAGAGCGTGCCCCCATTCGCATCATTCCCATTAGTCTTCATATACCCCGGCGCGCTCCACGCATCCGCATAAATCGTCTTGACGCCGTACGTATGCTGCGCCTCCCGGCTCACCCACAGCTGCTTGTTGTCCTCGCCTGTCTTCTCGAAATCGTAAATCAGCGGCTTATCGGGGCTACCCGGGGATCTGGGCGCGATGGAAACCATGTGGTCGGAACTCTGGTCGGGCGAGGAGCCGATGCCGTTGCGCAGGATGGAGAAACCGGCGCCCGTGGTTGTGGAAAATAACAAGTCGAGAGCGCGGCGTTGCTCGGTGGCTGGCAGCCTGGACATTTGGACGGCGCGTTGAAAGGCTTCCGAAGTGCCGAAGCCGGAGATCAGGTTGTAGGTTTTGGTCAGGTCGATGGTTATGGTTGTTGAGGATTGACGGGGGCCGAGAAGGGGAGGAGTTGAGGGGAGGGCTGAGCTGAGGCTTGCTAGAGAGAGGAGACGGAAAACTTGGGAAAGCATTGTGGTTGAGGCGCTTCCTGCTTTGAAGTCTTGCTATCTTGGTAAGTTGCATGGATGGAGGATAGAGGATGAGAGGGCCTGTGTATCGAGGTAGGTATCCTATCGTCCATATCCATAGTCATTGCGGCGGCGATCATGCTCGGTATATATCCAGGTCGTCAAGCAATTTTGAAACTCTTGCAGGTTAAACTCTGTTCGGATATTATCAGTGTCTTTAGCTGTTTCGTGACCTTTCACTGGAAATCAGTGGCACCGGGATTAAAAGAATCTCCTAAGGAGATCAGGATCACCCAAAGAAGGATATACATGACACTATATGACAAAGTTCCTCTACGCTGTTGTTTCGGTGGATGGGTAGCAGCCGTTGCGGCTAAATGTGGTTTCCATGGCCGTTTTGTGTTTGCAATCTCTGCTGTAGATCACAGGCATTCTTCCAGCAATGGGAAAACGAGCTGGAGACGTGTTACTCAATTCTGAAGTGGTGACGGGAGGATAGCTTGATATCTCTTGATCTTTCTTTCGGCTAGTTGGACTGTGGAAGGGTGATAAACTCGAGTGTTCGACTTACACAGTCCAAGGTGGGAATGGCTTCACTTTGGCCCCTGAATTCATCATTGATGCCAAGCCCTCTCAGACCGGGGTGTTGCGGTCGCAACGGGCAACAACCCTAACCCGCCTCCCGTTGCACACATTGTCTCGGAATGCCAAGGAACCCGGGCAAACGCCGAGGTTCGGCGAATGGGAGGGTTTTTTTTTTCTTTTTGCGCTGTGTTTCCGTCCTTTTTTTTTTGGCGGGAAAAAGAGACCTTTTTGAGAGCTTTTACTGCTTTCGGGGCACCGCCAATCAACTTTACCAGCGACTGCTGCAAAATAACCTGACCCTCAACCCCCAACGCCACACGCGGCACAATCTGACAGGACCGGAACCCGCGGGGTGAAAGAACTGAAAAGACTTTGAAGAAGGGGGATTTTGAGGTTCGGTTGGTTTGTGTTGTTGACGTTGTTGGCGGTCGGCGCGCTGCTGCAGCCAGACGGTTGCTCGGACTCTGAGTTGAGGTGCACGACGGCAGAGGCAGTGTGGGAAAGATAAAGACGGGAAGGGCGAAGTGCGATTTGGTGGGCGCTTTATTACTTTATTAACGCGGCCACACCCAATTTGCACCGCTCGCTTCGCCTGCCTACGGACACCGCTGATAGCACACTGTTAGAGGTTATAGCAAGTGGGGCAACCTCAATGAGTGGTACTTCCCGATATGTCTCCGCGGGTTTGCGGTCGGACAAGCTAACAAGTCTATTCTTGTCATCGACGCCGGTGTCAGTTATTAAAGGGACATCATGCCACGAGGCTAGATGGTCGTCGACTGCTTCGATAGTTGCGACGAAGCGCGCACGTCAACTGCTGTTCCTGTCTGGATCATCACCCGTGCACCCATCTTATAACATCAACTCTTCATCATTACGAAGGAGATCACTCAACACCATGGCTGGATGTTCAGCAACCGTGTCCAAGCCCGCGTTGGGTGTCGCCCCTGAGAATGCCACCGACCATCATGTTAGGGATTCCAAGGGTGAACTCATCGGGTTCCAGAACCCCCACCCGTCTGCCGGCGTCCTGCGCAACACTCTGCAGACACTAGGGAAGATGTTCTTGTAAGGATCATCATAGTGCCGACGGTCCGCATCTTGTTCATTGCGCTAACACGTGCTTATAGGTCGAGACTTCAGGGGAAAATGCCAGCTCCCGACTTGTCAAATGTTCACATTCCTGTCATCAAGCCTCACTTCCTTGAAGACAAGTCTCAAACGCAAAGCAGGAGCAACGACACCAAGGCCCTGCGCGCCACCTGGCTCGGCCACGCATGCTATTACGTCGAGTACCCCAACGGTCTGCGCGTGCTCTTCGATCCTGTCTTTGAAGATCGCTGTGCGCCCAGCCGCTTCGTCGGTCCCAAGCGGTACACTCAGCCGCCGTGCACGCTGGCCGACATTCCCAAGCTGGATGCCATTGTCATTTCGCACTCGCACTATGACCACCTGTCGGAGCCGACCGTGCGCGAGCTCGCCAAGCACAACCCGGAAGCGCACTTCTTTGTCGGCCTGGGACTGGCGAGCTGGTTCCGCGACACGGGTATCGACAAGGTGACGGAGATGGACTGGTGGGAGGATGCCACACTGACCATCAAGAAGCCTATCATCACTGCCGACGGCAAGGAGACGGTTGAAGAGATCGATGCGCAGATATCGTGCCTGCCATGCCAGCACTCGTCAGCCCGCACCGGCTGGGACAAGGACACTACCCTTTGGTGCTCCTTCGCCATCAAGTCAGGCGGCAAGTCCGTCTGGTTCGGCGGTGACACGGGATACCGCGCCGTACCGGAGATGCCGGCCGAGGAAGACGACTACGGACCCAAGTGTACGACTCGCTGCCCGCTGCCCCCATTTCAAGCACATCGGCGAGCTGCGCGGGCCGTTCGACTTGGGTTTGATTCCCATCGGCGCGTACAAGCCCAGGTGGATGTGGAGCGGCTTGCACTCGAACCCGTATGATGCGGTAGAGATCTTCAAGGACACCAAGTGCGAGAAGGCCATGGCGATCCATTGGGGCACGTGGGTGTTGACCATTGAGGAGGTGGAGGAGCCGCCCAAGTTGTTGAAGGAGGCGATGAAGACGAGTGGGATGCCGGAGACGGGGGTGTTTGATACCTGTGCCATTGGCGAGACCAAGGAGTTTTGATGTGTTTGCTTCGATCGAAAGCTCACAAGGGATAAGCATGGCCGCATGATACCCGGCGCGGCGTTAGCTTTTAGGCTGGAAAAAAAGGAAATCTGTTGTACGATAGGTAGGCAAAGGATTGGGCGGTTGATACCTTTAAGGATCGATGCACTTTCTTGAACGATTGGATGAAGGCAATATGAGAGAAACCTCATGGCAGTCGGCATCATATCCTGTTCCCACTCTCGGTGATCTTCCTCGGAATGCAGCTGTCGATACTGATGGCGATGGCTGGCCATGAGCGCCTTCTGCTACTTTCCGGTGTTACCCCGCCCGGCTCTAGGCCTGTTCATGGCGACGACCTGAAATGTCAATAGCGGCTTCTTATCGCGACGCCCTTTCCCTCCCGTCACTGAGAAAAAAACATATAACAGTCGCAATCATTCCCTTCTGCTTCTCAAACAATCAAAGGATGTCGCCAGAACAACACGAAGCCCCGGATGGTGTCCCCACTCACCGCCCCGCTTCCTCCGGGCCGTCCCTTCCCTCCACCGTCCCACTCCCCGCCCCAGCCGCGACAACAGCTCCGTCCACGATCCCAGTTCCCGCTCCGACGGACATGCTTGGCATCCCCACGACGACGACACCCAACATAGCTACCACTACCACAACCAGCACCACCAGCACCCCGGCCCCCAAAAAGAAGGCAACGCCAGAAGAAATTGACAACTGGGCACGCACCATCTACAACTACCATCGAATGCACATGCCCCTTCCCACCTTTCCTCCTAGTCCTTCCCAAGACCCATCAGAAGACCGCAGAGAAGAACCAACCCGAATAATCTTCACCCTCTGCTCCCTCGACCTCCGCGTAGCTCACTACGCCGCGCACCTCTTTCTTACCACCTTTCTTCCTGCTCCTTCTCCAACACAAGTGTCAGAAGCACCACCTCGCCGCCAGCAAAGAGCCTACAAATACCTCCTCTTCTCAGGCCACTCCGGCCTCTTGACACGTTCTTTGACCGGTGATCCCTCCTTGGCCTCCTCTGAAGACAAAATATTTCAATCCGAAGCATCCCTCTTTGCCTCCATCGCTCTCTCCCTCGGCGTCCCTTCTTCGTGTATCCTCATCGAGGAGCAATCCACCAACACGGGCGAAAACGTGCGTTTTACTCATGCTTTACTACAGCACCGGGGGATACAGGTGGACGAGTTCTTGTTGGTGCAGAAACCGTATATGGAGCGGAGGACTTGGGGGACTTTTGGGGCGCAGTGGCCCTCTTTGTCTTCTTCTTTTTCTCAGGCGGGAAAGGTGGAAGAGGGGGAAGTGAAAAAAGTGGAGTTTAGTGTGACCAGTCCGCCGCTGGAGTGGGAGGAGTATCCTGACGAAAAGAGTGGGGATGGGAGGGAGTTAATGACTAATATCATGGTGGGAGATTTGGTACGACTGAAAGAGTATGGGGAGAGGGGGTGGCAGACGAAAATGGAGATACCACCGGATGTGTGGGAGGCGGGGAGGAGGTTGGTGGAGGATGGAGGGTTTTCAATTTTCTGGAAAGGTGATCTGAGGTAAAGACTTTGTAGGGTGCTTTAAGGGGTTTTGGATGGATATTGATGACGGTTAACGAATGCTGTTTGCTCATGGAAGGAAAACCATAGTCGCTAAGGGTACTGACAAAAAAAGGCTATCACATGCTCCCCACGCCTTCACCATCCCTCAACCAGCCCCTGATGCGTTTCCCACCACCGCCAGTGGAACTACTCCATGACCCATAGCCAGATGATGACGAGTTCCCAAACCCTTCATATTCCCCCAAACTTGGCGGCAGATCCTCCACCTTCGTTCCCCACTCACTCTCCTTCTCACCCAACGTCAAGACCAGCTCCTTCCCTTCAGTGAAGAAACTATGGTCAATCCAGTTCTTGGTATACCTCACCCCATCAAGCGTGACATTCTGGATATAGATACCCTTATAACTAGGATCAAAGTTCACGATCCTGATCCTCGCAACCTTGCCGTTCAACGGATTCGTAATATTCACCTCCTCAAAAAAACGGCGAAGTGATCAGGTACACGTTCTGTCCCGGGTTGGGAAAGAGGCCCATCATGGCGAAAGCCACGAAGGAGCCCATGGCGCCGCTGTCGTCGTTGCCCGGCAGTCCGTCGGGCGTGGTGCGGAAGAACTCGGGGATGTAATAGTGGGCTCGTTTGGCGGAGAGAGCTGGCCGTCCAGCGTAGTGATACTGGAAGACGGTGAGGAAGGACGGCTCGTTGCCGATGTATGTGATGTTCTGGTCGTGGAGATAGTTCAGGCGGTCGACGAAGCGGGCTGGGCCGCCGTACAAACTGATCAGCGTAGCCTGGTCGTGGGGCACGTAGAAGCCGTATTCCCAGATGGAGGACTCGAACGTCTCGGGTCCGTTGTTTTGAAGGGAGCAGACGCTGAAATTGTCGTGGTTGGAGCAGTTTAGGGGGTTCTGATAGCCCCAGGTGCCGTTGAGATAGCGAGGTTCAAAAAAGCCAGTGAAGCCGGTGTCGGTGCCGTTCCACCAGAGAGAGGTCTGGTTTTCTTTGTAGAGGTTGCGCCAGTTGCTGCTGGAGAGAGTGTACTTCTTCTGGTCCGTGGTTCTGCCGGAGACCTTGGCCATTTCGGCGATGCAGAAGTCGTTGTAGGCGTATTCGAGTGTACGGGAGATGGAGCGCGTCAATGTTCCGAAGCCTTTCCAGTCGAAATCTTGGACGGGTATGTAACCGAGAGTATGCCAGCTGTCGAGGCCGCCGCGTCCCTGGCAGCACCAGTCGAATGGCTCGACCTCGGCATCTTTGACAACAGCGGCGTAGCCATCCTCCCACTTGAATTGGGTTAGCAATGTATGGTAGATGGTCTGGATATGGTGAGACGTACGTTGATGCCTCCTTTAAGTCCTTTGATGTATGCATCTGCTAGTACAACATCGGCATTTGAGCCACCCTAAGAGAGATTCTGTCAGAGGATTCCTGTGCTGTAGATAGAACGCAAATACCTGTGTATAGCCTTTATTCAAACTCATTCTGCAGTCAGGAAGCCATCCCACGTGTCGATACGTGTCAATAAGGGAGCGAATCATCTGAGTGACTGTCGTCGGGTCCGTGATGGTGAGAAACGGGAGCTGAGATCGGAAAAGATCCCATATGCTGCAATTGTCAGTAAAGAACGGATACCCTTGAAGATTCAAGAGGGCATACCAGTAGAAGGAGTCAAAGTAAGGCTCGCCGCTGGACCACAACGGATTTTCACCCGTATAGTTCTGCGGGTTGATATAAGTGCGGTAGGTGCCACTGTAGAAGTTGGTGACCAAAGATTTATCAACGCCCTTCGTTGAGACCCTGATTCCGCCCATCTTGACCTTCCACTGCTCTGTTGCTGCCTTCGAGATCCGATCAAAGTTAAAGTCGGGGATTTCAGACTCGGCATGTCTGCACGCTTGCTCGACACCAATGAAACTCGTTGCGGTTCTCGCAACAATTGGCTTGGCCCCGGATTTGAACCTCACGAATGCACCGCCCGGCAGAGGATAGCCATTGATCGATCTTGAGATAGTCATGTTCTTGACGGAGGTGCTGGCTCTGCTGTCCGCAAAGATGCCGTTATCCAATATCTCGGCACCAGAGAAGTCGGTACAGAAGTAGAGGATGTAGTTCCCCTGACCAAAGCTGGGCAGGAAACGAGCGGTTCCCGTAATACGGCCAGTCTTCTCATTGACTGATACTGTTCCGTTGTCCTGCCTCGAGTTTGACAGATCAGTTAGATCTTGCAGAATCAGTGGTCGCGCTGCTTCACCAATGGTGCTGTTTTCAGGGAACGTGAATCTGAATAGAGCGGTATGCTGAGTAGCCGTCATGTCTGCCCGGATGCCAATGTTTAGGGTGATTCCAAATGTCCCAGGTCTGGCAGAGACGCTCGAATTGTCAAAGCCACCAAATTTGGCTCGCGTCTTTTTGGGAAATGCGCATCGGTTGATGTCTCCTCCGGGGCAGCTGGTGTAAGGAAACAGAGCAAAGTTTCCCAACGATGGACTGCCACCGGTACCGCTGTCATGCATCATGCTGAAGCCAGTAACGGGGGCACCATCCAGAGTAAAGCCGCCTTGGTTTGAGGTGCTGTTAGTGTCGGCCACAGCCTTGGCCATGCCATATGGGAGTGAGGCTCCCGGGAAGACATTTCCACCGTTGCTTGCGCCGATCAAAGGGTCGACATATTGGAGGATGTCATCTGTGTCTTGAGCAAGTGTTCGGCTTCCAAGAAGGAGCAGAGAAAGAGCAGAAAGATATATCATGGTAAGCAGAAGTCAGCCATAAGGTAGGGTATGAAAGATACGAGGCCAGAACCGGCTGGCGAAGGAGAAGAGGAGACACGGAGCGGCCCTCGTTTTATGTGAAGAGAGGAGTTGAACCAGGCTGTTGGATATAATTCATCCCATGTCTGTAATATAACCCCAAAGTCGGTTGCCCTGATCGAACCCCTGACCGTGCAGGTCTCTGAGCACAACACCAGGTCAACCGGCAGGAGCCATACTCGAGCACTGTTGTCACAGTAGCAACAGTAGTAACCTTCCCGGGTGATTGGAGTGGGGGAAGTAAAGAGCAACCGTTGATTAGCACCCCCAATGCCTCCTATAGCTTTCCATCATGATTTCCCTTTGAAGACGTCCATCGTGAACTCGGCTGTTTTCCATCATGGAGGCTTCATGAGAAGAGATGTGGCACCGGATATTGGACCATTTTCCAGGAGCGACTGCCAGTAATACAAGCTTTTGTATCACGCCCGTTTGAAGGACTCTGCGGTTGTGCTCTGCATCACCAAATTGATCGTCTCGTGGTCGAGTGTCACACCAGAGAGGGTCTGTGAGACGAAAGATCAGTGCGAGCTCAGTCAAGGCACTCCCGCCATGTTGTGCGCGCAGGAGAGTCGGAAAGTAAAGCATGAATTGCAGATGCTTTGTAGCGTAGGATTGGGATATGAAGGTGATACAGATATGTTGAATACGACAAAACAGCGGGAAGTATACAGCAACAGTTGATGCTGATGGAATAATTATGGTAATTTGAGGAGGAAGTTGAGATGGAAAGAGTCGGGGACGAGGAACCTAATGGAACATGGGACGGGAAGCTGCCATTTTACAGGACGCATACCCTCCCGATGTCGCTAAGGAGGTCCCCGCAGGAGGTGCATTGAGCGGGGTTATAGCGCTCGTAGGGGGATTAGGTGACCGGGCAGCAGGAGAGGGCACATCCCATCTTCCCGTCCTGCCGGCCTCGCTGTTGTCATCCATTGGTGGCTCCGACAACGCTGCCAGTTGCACATCAAATCTCCCCCGGCCGTCCCAACACCGAGACTTCATCGGTTGAAATCCACCCGTCCCCCACCATCATGTCTCTTCAAGTCTAGTCTGGGCAGCTGCGAACATCAAGCAACCGGTACTCTCGATCAATCGAATCACGCAAGGAGATAACTGGAGATGATGGCAGCCTGTTGCTTGTTTCAACGGGCCTCCATCACCAACCTTCCGATCCATGGGCAAAGGCGAGCAAGTATCCGATGTCGATGATCCATGACCTCTTTGACACCAAATGTTGGCAAACGCGACACAGAATATCTCTTAACCATGAAAGGGAACCACTCAGGGAAGCCTTCTCGTCCTTCTTCATCTCCAGAAATCGGCTGGCCAAACGCTGTTGCTAAAGTGTCGATGAAATAGACAGGAACCACCGACTTTTCTCACGATAACCCGAGATGGACCATGCGAAAACTCTGGCTTGTGGCTTGAAACACTCGTGTCGACGCTCGTGGCATGGAATCTTCCAATTCTTATGGAAGCCAAGCCGAGTGGCCCTCTGCAACGACCCGGTTGAAACATGGCATGGATGGCCGTCTTAATCCTCGATGCAAACGGTTGAGATGAGTTGATGTCCATTTCCTGGTGAGACGGGCTGTTCGCGGAAGTTGACACGGCGACAGTTCAGGAAGTCCTAGGCGAACTGCTGTCACTCACTCGCAGTGGGTGAAAAGTAAAAGTCACTTGGGCCCTTATGACCGAGATGGGCCCGTTCCTTTTCTTGGAACATCAAGGATTGCCCGTTTGCACTCGACTCTTTTCAATGAACCGTACCGCCGGATGTCATCTCATCCACGGATCACCACGGCTCTTCGCAGAAGAGTGTCCTCAACACGGAATGAAGGTCGGGAAGTGCTTTTTTCGTCTGGGACTGGGACAGATTTGCCGCCTTCTTCTTGTTTCAGTGGAATCTGTGGTCTATGTTTGATGATGACTTCGGTAGTTGGAAGCACACGAGGAGCAAGTGAAGGTCGATAGAAAACACTATACGCACAGTCTCAGCAGTACCGATTCTACTAAATGGGGTTTTCGTCCGGAAGCTGTTGAAGAGTGTCTGCCGTTTAAATTTGTTGTGGCCAACCTCAAATCTCTTTTTGCTTTACACCACGACGAGACCCGAGAGCTACGGGACCAAAATTTCCAACCACTTCAATCCGGTACCAACCATGTTTCGCTCCAGGAGAGGCACACTCGACTCCATTCCCTGCTCACCATATGGCTTTGACTCGGACTTCGAAAGGCGCGGCAGTGATCAGTCAAGCACTTCCATGGCGTTGCCCTACAAGTCCAACACCACGGCAACCTTGACCCATCTGACGGCACTATCACCACCACCTGCACCGGCAAGTCCAAAACCGAAACCCGAAAGAACTCATGTGCGATTACGAAGCGACTCGGCCCTCTCGATGCATACAATAAAGTCCTCGATGTTCCGTCAGTACCCAGACAGCAGGTCGGAAAGTCCAGGGAATTCACCTTGGTACTGGAAGAAGCAGCGGGATGTCGACGCCGTCAGCAACAACGATACCATCTCCTTGGGGGGCACTACGAGTGTGGCCTCGAGCGAGAACGCACATTATGTTGGGTCACTCCCCAATATCTTTGATCGTGCGGTGATTAAGATGGCCTTCTCGGACCCGGAGGTGGGAAGCAAGCTGCGAGATTTTGCCAAGGTCAGGAACTATGCTGTAGACGTGGAGCTTCTGTTGAAGGTATGTTCATCTTCTTTATACTGGCCAGTGAGATGTTAGCAATTCATGATTCTTACTCATATAATCTCTAGGCGGACCAATACACCGGTGCTCTTGACACTTTGACAAGCTTAGTCAACCACATCTCAACTTACTTGGAGATCCCGGCAACATCCGCCTTGGAGACTCCTTACACATATCCACTTGCTTTCAAGTCAAATACAAAGCAGTGTGCTCGGAACGCGCTGCCTTCTTTGGAAAGGCTGTACCGCGAAGCCAAGTTTGCCGCCGAAGAACGGCTCGTCAATGACCTCTATCCCGAGTTCATCAAGTCTCAGTTTGCGGACCGTTTGAGGGCTTCTCTATCTGTCACTCAGCCCTCTTTCTCCAGTCCATCTAAGTCAACGTACCTTGGCCTGGGCAATGCTTTCTGTCTTACCGACTCTTGGAAGCCCAATAACCCTATCGTTTCTGCCTCGGAAGGGTTCCTGAGAATGTTTGGATATGAGAGACAAGAGGTACTCCAAAAGAATTGCAGATTTATGCAGGGCCACTCCACCAACAGTGACGCAGTTCGTCGGATACGGAATGCCATCTTCACGGGACAAGAACATACCGAGGTGATTGTCAACTATCGCAAAGATGGAACTCCATTCTGGAACTTCTTGTTCATATGTCCACTCGTGGAAGACGGCATCGTGCGCTACTATCTTGGTGGTCAGATCAACATATCGAAGGGTATGGGTACAGGTCACCGGGATATCATGAACCTTCTCAACTTTGATACACCCAAAAGGGAGGACTTTTTGCCCAGCGTACCAGTACGATCTCACGGAAGTCCAACTCAGCGGCTTCCCATACCCGTTCAAGAGTCGTGTCTCTTAGTCGAGAAACCACCGATCACACCTCGACGATCCAACCGACAGCGCCTTTTCGATCGTTTCATTTCCAGAAAGAACGTTCCTGACATCAGCCTTGAAGAGCGCCAAATAGAAGACCAGACCGCTCTTATGAATGCCAGAAAGTCACCATCGCCCTCGCCCATGGACGGCTACATCAAAGACTGGGGCATGTCGAACCCGTTCCACGACCATTACCAAGTTGTTGAACCCGAACCGCCCAAACCCGCACCCAGCACACCAACACCTTACTCATGCTTCTTCGTAATGCGCTACGTCCCTTCGCCCTCAACCTCCTTCCACATCTTCCCACATCAGACCAACGACAAGCGCCACTCCCGACTGCCGCACCTCCCCGTCGCCTTCTGCTCTGCCGAAGCCCTCGACTTCCTCGGCCTGAAAGGTCACGATTCATCCATTGTCCATTCTCGCTCCATCTTCTCGCTCCTCGTATGCGCCACGAGCTCGACCGACTTGGTCGAGAAGACCTTCCGGTCTACCGTACTCGAAAGCATGGCGACGGGCGAGTCCATCTCACTGGAGATATCATCGCTTGCTCATGATTCCCCGGTGTCCATCACTACCACTTCTCCTTCTCCTTCAAAAGACAATAAACCCATGGAAAAGCCACCCTCTCTCTTCTCCTCAACCCGTGCGCGCAGCCGTAGTAACGTCGGCGGCCGTGAATCCAGGACAGCAAGAGACGGGGCCATATCAGCTTTGTCAGCAGCCAGCTCGAGCTCAAATAGGGATCGTGATCGGCCGTCTACCTCTAGATTGTTCAGTGACAAGTTGAAGGAGCACCACGGGGGAACCGTGGAGAGACTTGGGAACATGTTTGCCTTCCGAGGACTCGGAGGAGGCGGAGGTAGTAAGGATGCATCAAAGTTGGAAGAAAGCGGTGGAGATGGACAGGGACAGCAGCTGAAGGGCAAGAAGTTGGTTAGTCACTGGACGGCTTTGAAGGATGCTGAGGGAAAAGTGGCTTGGGTGGTGCTGATTTTGTCGCCTGCTGTTGCTGCTGCTGCTGCGTCTTCTCCTTGATCAACTGTTGGAGCAGTTCTTTTTGGCACTTCGACCACTTCAGTCGACAGTGTCAGAAGTGTCATGCGAATGGGTACTGGATGACAGCCGGTCGAGGGCTGGATCACGGCGTGATCTGGACCTGGCCAAGTTGCAGAGATGTACATGAATGTATGTGTAAGTATGTACAGTGTAGGTAGTTCGGGTTTAACTGGAGGTTGGCTTTAGTCAAGTTGCATTCGGGAAGTCTCCCGTGAGAACACTCTCACTTGTTTCTCCAAAACAGGGCTAATCTTGGAGAAATGGAGAATGGGATGGACGGGATGAACGGCCGGATGAACAAAGGATCGCCGTCGATGATACGTGTAGTTGGCTTAAAACACTTTGTATGTAACTCGTATAAAACCCACCACAATTGGATGACAACAACACAGCCCGATCTTGTGTACAGTTCCACTGAGACAAAGATCGTCTTCTCGATCCAATGGATCGTGAAAGCAAACTACTGTATGGGGTCAAAGCTTCGCAGTTGTTTGGCGGTAGCGTACCTACAAGTAGGTAGAGGTGTTTGGTTCCCGAAGCTCCAAACCGGTGACGTCACCAGCCGTCCCCTGCTTCCCAAAACGGCAAAAAGCAAATACAGCACCAGACATTGCTGCCGGTCTATGATGACGATGGCCCGTGGATAAGAAATGAGGAGAAAGTACATACGGTCCAGGTACTGGAACAATGGAGAAGGAGCAACTTCGGATGCTGCACTTACATCATGTACAGGAGGCAGGGCGAGTGCAATTGGATGAAAAGGAGGAGAAAGCGGGGAGATCAAACGATTGTCCATTCGAACCTTCCTACAGGCACTTATATAGTAGAAACAATTCTCCTCTTCTCCCAAAGCAAATATGAGAATCATTTTTGCCAGAGCACTTGTTGCAATACCAAGACGAACAACTACCACCACCATCAAACTTCCTTCACTGATCCAACCCATTCAACGTATCTTCACACAACCGTATACTACAACCAACGTCAAGACCGCCCATCCCAAACACCAATCCAAAATGTCCAGCAGCGGTTTCTCCAACGCTGATACTGGCAACAAGCCGGCCGACCCCTACAAGCAGGCCAACCTCGACACCGAGGTGCCTCTGGAGCAAAAGATCAAGGACCTCGCTGGCTTCATGACCAGCAACAAGTTTAGCATGATGACCACTCGTGATTCCAAGACGGGATATCTCCTGTCCCGCTGCATGGCACTGGCCGCTACCGTATGTAGTTCCGATCTTACCTCGGCTTCACCCATTCCATTACTGACACAAACATCCAACAACTAAGGAATCCGGTGGCATCGACCTACTCTTCCACACCAACACCGAGTCCGGCAAGACGGACGACCTCAAGTCGGACGAGCACATCAACATCTCGTTCCTCAACAGCACGACGGGCGACTGGGCCTCAGTCAGCGGCACCGCCAGCATCGTCACGGACCGCGACCTGGTCAAGAAGCACTACAGCCCCCAGCTCAAGGCCTGGTTCGGTGATCTGGGCGACGGCGTCCATGACGGCGGCCCGGAGGACCCCCGCGTCGGTGTCATTCGCGTCAAGATGACGACCGCTCACTATGCCATTTCGACCAAGAACATTGTTGGCAAGGTTGCCGATGTGGCGCAGGGCGCCATCACGGGGAAGCCGGCGTCGGTGAACAAGTTGCGCGAGATTAGCGAGCAGGAGGTCCGGTCTTGGAGGTCGTCGCACTAAGTTTGTGAAAGTGTCCGTGGGATGCGAATGATTTATGAGCCGATGATAATGAATGTGCCTAGAGGTACTGGCCAGTTTCATAGTTAGAGAGTCGAGTTACTGACAGGTTGCTGGAAACGCACTGTCAACTCGTTCACGACGGGTACTGGAGTCAGGCACTGGCAGTATCAGCAACAAGTTAAATTAATTGAACGTTCTGAGACGAGAAAAAAAAACTTCCATCTACTGCTTTCCGCGGTAATCAGCCTTCCATATCCTGTCCCAGTTCTCCTTGTCGACGGCAAACTCTCTCACGAAGTCGTGCTCGAGCTCGTGCGTCCTGCATCCCAGAAGGATCAAGCTGTGCAGCGGGGGACCCAGCAGATCATCAGCATCGCAGAGCTCCTTGAGCGTGCCGGACACGAACTTCTCCGTCTTTCCACCGACACGGGCGCAGCCAATGGCCAGACTATCAGGACCATAGACACCCTCCTGCTTCTCCTCCTCGATCTCCAACATCTGCTTTGCGCAGGTGCCGACCGTCATGTACCTGGGCGGCTCGTAGATCTTCCTGCCGCGCGCCATGTTCTCCAGGCTCTGCTCCTTGACCTTGATGTCCAGCAGCACGAGCGTGTGCAGGCCGATGGAGCGGTTCTCCTTGATGCGGTCGTAGAAGCTCGCAGGGCGCCAGTTGTCGAGGAAGAACACCATGCTGACCGTCTGGCCAAAGTTGTACAGCTGCAGGCCAGCGGCGCCGATGCCGCTCATGATGGAGGCGTTGGGCACGGTGCGCACCTGGATGCCCAGCTCGCGCGCGCGCAAGACGAGGTCCGTGTGAGTGGTGGCGCCGAACGGGTCGCCGACAACGCAGAAGGCTACGTCGACTTTATCGGCGTCCCGGAGGATCTCGTCGCTGTCGGATTCGACCATCTCGCGGTCGGCGACGACGATGGAGCGGCCATAGTAGGATTCCTACTGGAGGAGAAGGGAGGGTGGTTAGTGACATTGAAACATTGGTGTCGTTTGGATGGAATGGGTCAAAGAGAAGATGGGAGGAAAGAGAAGACAGAAAAGAAGACGGAAACGGGGACGGAAGACGGCGGCGCAACGTACAAGAGTAGCCTGGTCCACAAGGAGGATGCTGGTGTAAGCCTCGAGGTAGACACGCTCGGCCTTCTTGACAACCTCGAGACCCTTGACGGTAATGTCCGTCTCATCGGAGAGACCAAGACCAACGAGGTACAACATCTTGGAAGCTTTGGTGGTTTTGGAGCTACCTAGACCTGGAGGGAACCTTGATGTCCAGACAAAAAGTGGAAGCTGTGCTCCAGAAATTCAGCGAGTTTGGACTGCTGTGGTTGGGGAGGAATTGGAATTTGAAGGTGGGTCTAGCACTCCGATAAGAAAAAACGCGGGGAGATAAGGGAGATCGTCCTGGGTTCAAGGTACCTTTTTAGCGGCATGCCCCCGCTGATGGAGCTTGCCCCACCTAAATGAAATGGCCCCGGGCCTTGTGGTTGACGTTGCCGCTGCGGCAGCGCGTTCCATTTTGGCGCGTTCCCGGCAGTGACATGCAACTTGTTGAATTGATTTCCATCTGAGCCAAGCATTGGACAACTTCCAGTTATCCATCATCCATCACGGTTCTCGTTTATCATCGAGGTCGATTTGTAGACCGATCTTCATCCAAGCAAAACACACTCGTTTATCCTCGACCACACTACTACCAATCTCCCGATAGCGTCGCACAAGACCTACCGCAAAACAAAAACCCAAATTCGTAGATCCGCCACCATGTCCAAGAACTCCTCCTCTGGAGGAGCCTACGGCCAAGCCGCTGGCGACACCGACTTTCGCAAGAAGTACGATCTCGACGAATATGCCGCCAAAGCGCGCGACCGCGAGGAGGCCGAAAAGGAGGAGCGCAAGGCGCGATGGGAGGCCAAGATGGCCGGCAAGAAATACTACAAGCCTCTTGAGGGCCACGAGACCCTGACGACCGCTCGCTCGGGACACCAAGACTTCAGCAAGCTGGTCGGCACAACGATGCTGATTCCCGCGGGGGCAGGCGTGGGCAAGCGCGGCCGAGGAGCGGGCATCTACTGCGAGGCCTGCGACCTGACCTTCAAGGACAACCTGCAGTGGATCGAGCACACGAATAGCATGCAGCATCAGCGGAACACGGGACACACGGGCGAGGTGCGAAAAGCGACGGCTGAGGAGGTACATCAGAGGATCGAGCTTCTGTGGGAGAGGCTACAGGAAAGGAAGAGGGAGCAGGTCGTTAGTCTCCAGGAGCGGCTGGAGGTGAGGAGAGTGGAAGATGAGAAGGAGAGGGAGGAGAAGAGGAGGAAGCGGAAAGAGGGGGAGGAAAGGAAGAGGTTGGAGAAAGAGGAGGCGGAAAAAGCCAAGACTAACTACGGAGAGGACGTGAGGATTGAGGGCGAACACGATGAGGATGATATGATGGCTGCCATGGGGTTCACGGGATTCGGAGTCCCGAAGAAGTAGGCTGGTCCTGGTCTGGGTATACTAGCGTCTTTGCAGTGTTACAGGTACGCTGTGAGTTTTTTCTACCAGCTGTCAGATGTTGGGGGGTATATAAGGCTCCTTTGCTGGGTGCCTTTCCGTGGTTATTTGGTGTATATGGAAACATCCCTGAGGCGGGATGATCTCACCTGGCACGTTGCGACGGTTTTGCGCAAGATATCGGTTCGATTCCGGTATGAGAACGCTTTCATTTATGGGTTTCCTCTCCCATTTCTTTACGAGACGTTAGTTGGGGATCGCACAAGGTATTAAAACACAGCATGGGACGGCGTTCTGGGTTCGGTTGTTTTCTGTTGTTTGATAGTTTAGTCAATAGCTAAGACGATTCTTCTTACTTGAGTCAACTTGGGGTACACCCACGTTGGTAATACCGTAGACGAACTGTGCTCTTCCGTTTGGTATATCATCATTTTAGTCTCTTTGAGGCACCTTATTATTCGCATCGACGTTTTGATCATTAATGCTATTGCCCTTGTCAACGATGACTACGGCCCCACTACCCGTTGCGGAGGGATCTGGAATGCCGGTGGGGCCGAAAGCAAGGTGCCGGACCGCAGAAGCGATCCCCGCCCCGCCCCTCCAACTGGATCGACGTCGACCGAATGTCGCGAGTTTAATTGATTTCAATCACATTCACCCAACACCAACGCCACCCTCGAGTTTATGAGAATTTTTTTACGGCAATCATCAGGATTATCGTTATTAAGCTGCTTGACTTTTCCCAACCAATATCCCAAAATCGAAACTTGTTTTCCTCTTTCTACCTACCTTACTGTGCAGCTCCCTTGCTTGCTGCCAGCAACGTCACCTTTGCTTTGCGTCTGACAGCAAATTCTGAAAGCGCATCACCGGCCATCAGCACTTCTCACCCCTATACTACCGCCCAACGAAGAAGAAAAAGACGATACGAGAGTATCCCGACGATAGCAAGACCAACAGCGATTAAAAAAATGGCCCAATCGTCAGCAGCAGCGACACAACTCCGCAAGGAGTTCAAGCAGATGCAGAAGGACACGGACATCCCCGGGATATCATGCGGTCTGGTGAACGACAACAACATCTTTGAGTGGGAAGTGATGTTGATGATTCCCGATGAGGTCAAATACTATGGCGGTTCGTTTTTACTTCCCAAGACTCTTGTCCCTTTATATGCCCCATCCCACCCTTCACCATTCACCTGTCTTTATCATTTCTTTTCCAAACTCTGCCTGCCTAGCATATCTGCATACACATCGTCCCATTCCCACCCGCATTACCTCTATCCGAAGCACATATGTACATACTTAGCTGCGTAGCCCGATACTGACATTCACACACCCGAAAAAAGGAGGCAACTTCCGCGCTCACCTCGTCTTTCCATCCAACTACCCGCACATGCCGCCCAAGTTCACCTTCCAGACTCCGATCCCGTTCCACCCCAACATCTACCCCTCAGGCGAACTCTGCATCAGTATCCTGCACCCGCCCGAGGAGGACAAGTACGGGTATGAAGACGCGTCAGAGCGGTGGTCTCCCGCCCGCTCTCCGGAGAAAGTGCTGCTGAGCATCATCAGCTTGTTCAGCGACCCGAACCCGGACAGCCCGGCCAATGTCGAGGCTGCAAGGCTGCTGAGGGAGGAGAAGGAAGGGAAAAACAAGGAGTTTAGGAAGAGGTGTAGGGCTTGTGTGAGGGAGAGTTTGGGGGAGGAGTAGTGATATGAATGATGGTAAGGACGAACTAGGGGAGATTGTCAAGATGGATGAGAAAGAGGGGAGAATAGGACAATGGGATGTAAGCGAGTTTGCTCTTGTTTTCGAGGGATATCCATAGCGAAATGTTACGAAAATGCTACAGAGATGCGCCGGTATGCGGACATTGAACTGAAAAGGATGCTGGATGGTCGTTATGGTTGGCCTAGGCTGTGCGCTGCTATAACCAAGCAACGTGCTAACCAGGAGGCCGACAGATCAATACCACCGAATTGCCGCGAAAAGCTGAATGACAAGCGCCATAGATGATGCAACCCGATTTTACTTTTGGTAACGTAACAAAAGGCCCGTGTATACCTTAATCTAACCAAAGAATATCTAAAAATAAAATGCAATCCAAACTCCTAGGCACCGCTGCCGCCCATACTGTATAACATCGCCGACAACAACAGCAACAACATGATATCTCTCTGTCCTTAACCCAAGATATGGCTCAAACAAGAGGGTATATATGGACCAAAACAGGCCCCAATGTTTTACAACATAGTAACATCCCGCTTCTCAAACACGCTTCCTCATCTCATCTCATCCCATCCAATCCCGTTCCCTCTTTTTTCAGGGACAGCTTAGTTAAAGGCCTTGTTCATAGCCTGGTGAGCCAACTCGACGCCCAAGAAAGTAGCAGCGTTAGCAGGCACAGCTCTAGCCAGCGCCGGCGCAAAGCCAGGGAAGAAAGCCTTGTAACCGCCAGCCCTATAAAGCTGCTTAACGACGCCACCAATCGTCACGTTGCCTTCGGCAGTCTGCAGCCTGCTCTTGACGGTATCGATGGGGAACACAGGGATCCACATGGCCACACCAGCGCCCGCACCAGCAACCGTGATGGCGCCCAGGCTAAGCTTGCCGCTGGCCTCGCCGGTTACGGGGTCCTTGGGCGTCAGCGCCTTCTTGATGTACTCGTACGCGGCGAAGTAGGCGGCGGAACCTGGGCCGTCGCGCGCCAATGTGGCGACGGAGCCGCGGAAGACGGAGCGCACGCCGCCTTCCTTGTACAGCTGGCGCACGACGTCCATGCCGCCCGAGTACTTGGGCTTTTCGCCGGGCGCAAGCTTCTGCTGGCCCTGGACTTGCAGGATCACCTTGACGCGCTCAAAGGGGGCGGTGATGGCGGTCATGGGGATGGCGGAGAAGAAGCCGGCGGCGGAGATCTGGGCGATGGAGAGGTTGCCGTCGGGGGCGACGGTGGAGGTGGCGCGCACGATTTGCTTGCCGAGGTCGTAGCCCCAGAAGGAGACGGCGACTGTTTATGGGAGAGGGTTAGTACACATAGTTTCTGGGAAGAAAAGGGAGAGGGGAAGGTTAAGTAAGAGGGGGAGGGAAGGTGGGAAAGACATAAACATACACATGGGAGTAACACCAACAAGCGGCGCGCTGACACCAGCGTAGAGACCCCTCCTCAGACCATCCTTGGCGATAGACCTCTTGACGACATCAATGGCGCCGGTGTAGACGCCCTTCTCGGCTGTTTGGAGACGGACTTTGGCGAGATCGAAGGGGTGGCCGACGACGACGGCGCAGACACCACCGAAGCCACCAGCGACGAAAGACCTGATCTGCGAGGCGCCCGCGGAGGCGGCGGCCTTGGCCTCAGCCTTGATCTCGGCCTTGAGCTCCTCCTTGGTCTCGGGAATGTGAGGGAGCTTCTCGGCGACGACCTGCTGGATCTTGGCGCCTGGCGACGAAGTGGTCGACGACATTTTGACTGTGTGTGTATGTGTATATGAATATGTCAAAAGGAGGTGAGGAAAGGTTAGCGCAAGAGAGAGAGATCCTTCAGGTGGGAATCTTCAGTCAAGCGCCCTGTCGCAAAAAGTTGGTGATTGGTGAGATGTACCGGCTCGTTCGATCGAAGCAGCAATTGTCGTCTGTTGTTGTCCTGCAAAATGTGGGTGTGGTCTTTTTGTCTGGTCTCTTCAGCGGGTAACCGGAAACAAAAAGGTTGACTGGAGTCTTTCGGCGGGTTTCGGCGTTCGGGGACGTTAAAGGTGGGTGTACAGTATGCACGTTTAAAAAGCAGCTGTAAGCCGAGATAGTGTTTCCTGGGGTTGACTCGCGTGAAGGGATGGGATGACAGGCTGGTGGGTGGATAGGTGGGTGAGATGAGATCAAAGGCAAAGAGAGGATTAAAGAAGAAGCAGTTCGTCTGATGTGTGTGAGAAAGGAGCTCCGAACGGAGTGTATGATCAAGGCGCGCGCCGGGCTTTTGAGAAAAAAGAAAGACCGTCAACACAAATCCCGACGGCTTGAATCGCATCCCACCGGCCGTCCATTGCAATAGTCCCCGGGCCCATGAGACGTCACTTGTCCTCTCTCGCTCTCACAAACCTCGGCAAAAAGGAAGCGCACAAAGCATGTTCCCCCACCTTCTCTCCAGTTTTGGGTGGGTTCAATCCCGCAATCCGGACTTGTGTCCACCGACTGAGCACGTTAGCGCCTCTCGTCCGGCGGCGCGAAGAGTCTGGAGAAGCCTCATAATGTCCGGGTATCTACCCTACAGTAGGTACTATATATCGATGACAAGTGCCTGTGCGCAACGTGAGTAGATATCTGGACTTGACATGATTGGAAACATGTTGGCTTGCTCGTCGACGATGAAGTCGCGGAAAGTTTTATAGCGCATCTCCGAATTTCTCCAACTCCTTCAGATCATCACTAAAACCGAACTTTTTGGCTTCTTCGCTGTCTTTGCTCACTGGCGCGCGACGGCCCTGAATGGCATTGGCGGCGGACCCCACCGCGCAAGGTAGTACCTTTACGGCGGTATCCATCCATAAAGGTACCCTTTCACCGTCCAGTGGGCGGCGAGTGGGCAGTGTCACATTCCTCGGCACCCAGAATTCCCCAGGTCATCTGAGTGGACGGCCCGACTGTTTGTCTCTTTAACGCCAGGAGGCCATCCAGGAGATGGTTCAGTAAGTGTGTTCCCATGATGAGCCTTCCTCCAGTTTGCTTAAGAAGAAATCCCGATATCGTGAGTGTCACGACTCGTCGACGACGTTCACGATAACGAATTTCGCGGCGCGGTCGGCGCAAAGGGGAGAGAGGTCATGCATCATCCCTGAAACTCCGCGTGGGACCCTGTTGGGGCAGCTGGGGAGAGCTCAAGCAAAACCTGGAGCAAAGGGAGTTTCTGATTTGGGGCTTTGGGGATATCTCCATCTGCGCGGTGAAATTGTCCAATGGAACGCGACGTGTTTCGCTGCCCACGCCCCGACATGGCATCATCGTGGATATGAAGATGATCATCCAACCCCAGATTTGGTCAGATCAAGACGGTGTGCCTTATAGGTAATCGTCACGGGAGATCATGGGTGAGTGCGGTTTACCATTTCAAGCCGTCTTTCGGGCGTACGGCAAGTGGTCACGCTGGTCCTGTCGCTGAGAAAAAGGGTGATGTCCTGGCCCAATTGGTGGAAGGGCAGCCATTTTGTGAAATTTCGATGCCAAGACGTTGTACTAGGTAGGTACGCCAAAAAGTTTTGGGTCTGACAACATTCAGACATGTGAAAGTCGGGTTACAAATGTACAACCGCCCGGATATCCATTGCGTACCGTACACATGCGGCGGGACGCGTGCTGCAATACGTCAGTGGGTGAAACAACAACCTCTCCGCTGCGTCACCCACTGCCGGAAGCATGAACCGAAAGATCAAGCTGGTTGGGTCGTCTGTTGGTCGCAGATCCAAGAACATCAGTTGTTTAATACAATCACGATCCAAGCTTATGTACAGTAACGCTTTCCAAACGAACGAGGGGCCCGGCCCCAAGCTCGAGCTCAACAGTACACCCATTATGATATGGACGCAGCCACCTCGTTACAAGCCGTCGTCTCCTCTTCCCCTCATCCTCATGGCAAGATCATTAACCAACATCTCCTGTCATCCCACATTACCAGACAAGCCCCGTAACGTTCATCGACCTTGCTCCTCTAGAACAGATTGGTGCTCTGCGATTGCGAGAGAGGGCTCCGGCCCGCTCCGCACCAACAACTAGACTCTCCCTCGCGCTCAACCTGTAGCGTGATATCGATGTGGTGTCCCAGAAGATAGTTGCGCACGCGATCACGAACATCCTCCATATCCGCACCCCGGACCGCCTGAACGTGCATCACTCCCAACAGCATGTTGGCAGAGCTCTCCTCGCCCGAATTGCGATCGTCGATCCAGAACTTGGGCACCGAGTAGCCCGCGACACCTCGAAGACCTGAAATACCCGATAGCGTTTCCCGAAGGTTGTACTCGGTCTCCGGAGGGATCGTAAGCAACAGTCTCCGCGCTGAGGACATGACAAGCGGCAAGGACGAAAGAAGAATCAAAACGGCGATGAGGAAACTGGCAAGAGGATCCCACCCGGACCACGGGACAAAGTGCGTCAAGATGGTCGAGACAATGACAGCAGCACTGCCGAGGGTATCAGCCAGAACATGCAAGTAGATGCCGTGCATGTTCTCGTTGTCGTGCGAGTGCCCGTGCGAATGTCCTCCGTGGGAGTGGCCATGATCGTGCTTGTGGTCGTGGCTGTGACTGTGATTGTGACCGTGGGCATCTGAATCGCTGTGCGAGTGCGAGTGCGAATGTCCGCCACCGCCGCATGATGATCCTCCATGAGAGTGTCCGTGGCCGTGATCATGGCCATGGTGATGATGCCCAAAAGCGGCCATGCCGACCAAGTTCACCAACAAGCCCATGGTACTAACCACGAACAGCTCTCCCAACCTCTTGGTTTCCCTGCCCTCCATCATTCTTTCAATCGCCTCGAACATGATCTCTACACTGATCAAAACCAGAAACACACCGTTGGCGAAACCGCTCAGTGTCTCGATCTTGCCAAATCCGTACGGAAATCGCTCGCTGGGAGGCCATTTGCTAGCAACAGCTGCGAACAAGCCAACTGCCAAGGCTACACAATCGAAGAACATGTGTATACTATCGCTCAGGAGACCGAGGGAATCTGTGACGTAGCCGTAAAACGCTTGCACAGCCATGAAAGAGAGGTTTATTCTGTGAAAAGGGGGTTAGCAGAGGCAAGTACAGTGCTGACCGCGGAGCAGAATGGTGAACTTACGACATGAAGTAGAAGATGCGTCGAGAGTCCTTCTCCGTCATCACCGCATGGATTAACGGGTACTTGGAGGTATATGGAAGCAGAAACGCAGTGAATCTCGACCACTCAGCAGAATGGTCATGGTGCGAGTGCGAGTGCCCGTGATGCGAGGTGGCCGTGGCTGGCGGCTCAAAACCATGTCCCTTATCAAAGCCAGCGGTCGTGGGAGTGATGATGGGTCTTCCGCCAGCGGTTGAGCCTGTCCGAAAGTGCTTGATGGCCCCTAAAGGCGGAATATTGGGGCGTATCTTTGTAGGTCCTGGCCCCCCGGCATCGTGAGAGTGGCTGTGGTCATGGTCGTGATCGTGGTCGTGGTTGTGGTCGTGATCGTGCTTATGATCGTGGCTGTGGTCATGGCCATGGTTGTGGTCGTGGTCGTGATCGCGAGCATGACTATGATTATGGCCATTGCTTTGCGTCTTGTTGTGAGAGTGTGGTCCAGTTGCGCGCGAGTCCCTTCGACTGCGCGAAGAGCCCAGGGAGCTCAGGGATGGGAGAGACGGGAGCGACGGCGGTGTATGGGAATGCGCATGCCCATGGGAGTGATCGTGAGAGTGTCCGTGTGAACTTGAATGCGAATGATCGCAATGGTCGTGTCCATGGCCATGGGAGTGCAAGTGGTCTGAAGCCAAGTGTGGTGTTGCGGGTATGTCGACCCCGGCAAGGTGTAGGATGTAGCCATTATGATATTATAGCAACAATATCTTGGACAACAGTTGGCTGGGATATGTTGACGTGCGGCGTCTAGGAAAGCTTCGATGCCCCTATTATCGATCTATACCGCTCGGCATGTGATTGTCGAATAAAGATTTCAACGAGAGAGATGGCGGGCGCAAGCTTGCGTTTAGTTGTCGCTGGATAGTGTGGTGCGATAACGAAGGACGGTCTAAGTCTAGATATCAATACGGAACGATGGCATTAGCTACAAAAGCCCTTGTGCAAAGGAAAAAAAAAGAAACACTACGCCATTCGACAGGGCAGAAGCACCAATTGGCGAACGTCAATCCCAGAGAGCAATATGAAATTAAATAGAAAAAATATTGCCTACCGCCACTCTTTATCCCTGGAGTGGTCGTTCGTGTGTACCCTTATGGCTCCGAAAATCGCGACGATCGGGTCTCCTTCACTGGTGAGACATGCGGTTACGAGTTTCGGTCAGGGGAAAGCAAGAAGCCGCAGCCGATATGTACCGTGCACTCCGGTCCGGTAGGTGTCACACAGAGGGGCTGATTTTGGCTTCGGGTGCCGCGATTCGGACGGGTACGAAAGTGAAGGTAAAACCGACGACAAACAGAGGACAACGGCGATGACGGATGATGGTTGCGACAGTTAAAGAGGACTGAAGCGAAGGTGACTGACAATTCGGTGTTGTTGTTCTGCAGTGGTCCAAATGGTCAGGGCCAGTCCAGACTGAGCAAGCCGTCCCTCGTCCGGTGTCTTGCCTTCCACTTGGGTCGCTGGGCCCCCTCCCCTGGGAGCGCCTCCGCCGCCTGGCCTGCACTGCACTGGGGCTCCCGTCTTTCCCATTCGCCTGTCGCGACTTCTCGCCGGCCGCCTTCCTTTTCTGTGCCCCTGAAAGAAAGTCCATCCCATGTCCGTGTGGGGAAGACAATCGGACCCCACCGTGATGGTAACAGTCATTGGCTGTGTTTCAACAACCGTACATTGACCCCTGCGTTCGGCAGTGGCCATTGCATGAACCGGGGGGTTCTCCACGGGGAGATAATCTGTGCTAACCATCAACGCAAAGCCAATGTGCTAACGCTAACAAAGTCGATCAAGCGATGAATAACAGTGAATTCGACAATTGCTTCACTTTTGGCAACTTGGTAGGTACCTCTATGCCCTCAATGGTATCGATCGTAATTTATGAGAAGAAAACACAAACAGTGAGCTGATTTATTTATTACAAGTCTCCTTCCCAGTTGCTGTTCTGCGGCGTCATATCACACAGACACATCAAGTTTGCATCCCCGCCCCAAACCTGCAAATCCACCGATCTCCTGCGCATAAGACGGTGCAGGTGACAGCTGTCCCGTACTGTCCGCTCGGGCCACCGTCCACTGTAGCCCCAGCACTCAACCTAACCTCGCCCCTGATCTTCCCAAGCCAACCCCAAGCCACCATGTACAGAGGTACCTATACACAAACACACCACTCGTGATGGCTTCACTTCTCGTTGCCCTCATAGGTCCCCTGGTCCTTACCGGACTGGCACTACTGGTCACCTACCTAGTACTAGGACCCTCCAGATATGGCGGTCCCTCTTCAGGCAAAGGAGTGGTCGTCCACGTCCTCGTTCTCGGTGACATTGGTCGAAGCCCACGCATGACGTACCACGCCTTGAGCATAGCCAAACACGGCGGCAAAGTGAACCTCATCGGTTACCTAGGTAAGTTTGAACCATCAGCTCACCATTGTCATTACTTCTCTCATGAAACAAAATAACTAACAAAAGCATCACCAGAAACCCCCCTCACCCCTCCCTCCTCTCTTCCCCCTTCATAACCCTCCACCCCCTTCCCCCCTCCCCCGTCCGCCCCCATCCATCCCTTCCTGCTCTTCGCCCCCTTCAAAGTCCTCCACCAATTCATCTGTCTATTCACTCTCCTCTCCTACCGCCTTCCTCCTGCCCAATGGGCTCCTCCGTCCAAAAACCCCCCCCCTCCAATTCCCACCCTCTTTCATCGCCAGCCTGGTCTGCCGCCTCCGCTCCACTAAGCTCCTCATCGACTGGCACAATTACGGCTGGACCATCCTCGCCTCCACGCGCGGCCCCCGTCACCCACTAGTCTACATCGCCAAGCTCTACGAATGTCTCTTCGGCCGACTAGGCGACCACAACCTAACCGTCACGCACGCCATGGCGCGGCAGCTTCGCCAACCTCCCTACAGCATCCAGGGCGCAATGACGGCCGTGCACGACCGCCCCTCGGAGGTCTTCAAGCCGATGTGGTGGGGTCAAGCGCGCCAGGACGTTCTCGAGCGCGTACTTCCCGAAGACCAAAAGGAACTGGTACCCAGCATCATGGCGGGTACGACCAAGTTGCTCGTCAGCAGCACGTCCTGGACGCCCGACGAGGATTTCGGTATCCTTCTCGACGCGCTGGTCGCGTACGCGGCTGACCTCGTTTCCGAGACATGTCCCGTGTTGGCGGTGATTACGGGCAAAGGGCCGCAGAAAGACCTGTACCTGCAGCAAATTGAGGAACTCACCAAGAGCGGACAGCTGCCGAATGTGCGGATCGTCACGGCATTCTTGCCGTTTGAGGACTACGCGAAGCTGTTGGCTTGTGCGGACTTGGGCGTGTGTTTGCATATGAGCAGCTCGGGCGTGGATCTGCCGATGAAGGTGGTGGATATGTTTGGCGCGGGATTGCCGGTGGCGGCGTATTGTGGGTATGAGAGCTTCGGGGAGCTGGTGAAGGAAGGGGTGAATGGGAGGGGGTTTGAGAGTTATGGGGAGTTGGCCATCATCTTGAGGACGCTGTTGAGTCCGGAGGGGAGCGGAGAGTTGGAGGTGTTGAGGAAGGGGGCTGTTAGGGAGGGAAAGAGAAGGTGGGATGAGGAATGGGATGAAAAGGTTGCGAAGATTATGGGATTTGCGGCTTAGAATATTTGTCTTTCTGGAGGCTGCTGTGAAGCTGGACTTGGAGTACCTTTGAGTGGGCGATGCTTATTTGTACGTGTATCTTAATTACCTAGACTAAGACTATCCTTTCGCTGTTCATGACACCTACGTTCCTGGCTCATCAAAACACCAAGTAGAATTAGCAAATGATGGAAACTCTTGCATGTTACTCCAGATTGGGTTTCCACTACGTCGATCTCACAAACTTGATGCACTCTACTAACGAGACTTCGTTCCCTCAAGACAGCTACGTCCGTCTCAACTACAGGGGTGCACGAGGTGCTTTCCCATGATGCTAATTCAGGAACTTCCCACCACACCCACCACAGATCCCATCCCCTAACATGGCCATGATCTCTCCCCTAATCCTCTTCTCAGCATTCTTCCTCTTAATATCCAGCTGTTCCTCTTCGGTCAGCAGACGGGCATCCGCATCCGCATCCGCATCTGCGTCACCTTCACCTCCTTCCGCCATCTCCACATCGCCATCGCCATCTTTGTCCTTCTCCTTCTCGTCCTCCTCAGCAAACTTGGGATTAGGAGGAATGCATTTCCTAGCCAAGATCTCGGCCCGCATGGTCCTCGATCCACAAGCGCCGCAGTTCCTCGTGATTCCAGGCATCTGGATCGCCAGTCCGCTCGTTGTGCACACGCTGAAGAAGTGGCCATTCTCACAGCCGCTTAGGCCGCTGCGTTTTAGGCCGCTGCGTTTGTCTTTTTTGCTGTTGTTGTTGTTGTTGTTGGTGGTGGTTCTGCCGTGCTGGTCTGGCAGGTGCAGCAGGCAAGATTCTGGCGCCGCAGAGATCGCATTTCTGGCGGGCTATGGCATACGCAAACAGAGTGTTAAGCTTCTGCGGAAACTGGTGTTCGGGCGCGTTAAGGTTGATGAGATTAGAGGGGTGGTTGATGGTTACGCCGGGAACTTCGTCACCTCCGCCGTATAACCACTCGAAAAGACGGGCTTCGGTCGTCAGCCTCGATTGAGATTGTTGAGCTTCTGCTGGTTTGGGAAGAGACTTCCGCTTTGGCACCGGTGGTGGTGTCGCCGGCCTTTGAGGTTCAGGTCCACGAAGTGCTGGGTCAATGGCGTCTTCGCTGTTCTCTTTCTCTTTGGCTTCTTGCACTTCCTCGGCCTGACCCTGAGGTAATGTAGCCCCCCTCTTCCGTGGCTTGGTTCCGAAGAACACCGTTGATCGCACCGTATGCCACCCACCGCGCTCTGGATGCTGCGTGCTATGTAAACTGGCAATCATTGCCGTGACATTTGCACCCGGTGATATGGTGAGACCGTGTAGTCTAAACCGATGAGGGTGAATTTCAGGGACCTCTGGTGCCACCGTCATCGCATCTTTTCCGTTATTGGCTATGTCGATGGCATTATCATCGTCATTTCCATAGAAGTCGTCGTCGTCCAGATCTTCATCCTCATCGGACTCGTCTGACGCCACCGATGCATCATCATCTCCGTAACCCCGTTTGAAATGCATGTCAGCGGGAACGCTGACGGCCAGCTTTTGCATAACCTGAGTCACCCATTGCGGCTCGTGGGTCTTGCTAGGCAAATTAACGAGGTCACTATCCTCGTTGATCGACGTAGCAATTTCACCGTGAAGGGCCGGCACATTTGTCTCGTACCAGTCAAGATTGGAAGAGGTTGCGGACATGCGAAGAAGTGTAAACAGCGGAACGGGTGTCTGGTTCTTCAGGTCTGGACGGTGGATGACGAGGTCTGTTTCGGACATTAGTATGGAAGTAAATAACGAGACTTGATAGTGGAAACCGTACTCACCGATGATAGGATTTGTTGATGGCAGGTCAACAGCTTCGTCTATGTATGTTGTTCCACAATCACTTGACCCATGAGGCTCACAGCTGTATTCCGCACCGCCAACGAGAGCCACCTCAAATGGCTTGTAATTAAAGCCTGTGACGATAAGTCCACGACAGTACGTGACCCTGCCTGCATTCCAAACCTGTTCACGACCGTTAGCTAAAAGCACTACCGGAATAGTCAGCCGTGGTATGGCTTACAGCGTCTTCGAACTCCACAAAGGAGTCTGTCGAAAGGTGAAGACATCTGCCGTATGTGTCTGTCTCCTCGAACTTGAGTTCCGGCAGCTCTCCTCGCTTCCAGTTAGAGGCTAGCGTAATTTTGCGGAAGCCGACATAGTTCCTGTCAACATAGGAAAGAAGGCAACTACGTCCATCACCTTCTTCTACCCACGGACTGAAGTTAATTCCGAATGATGTGCCAAAGGGCACGTAGTCTGGATCCATAACCTGTCATATTGGGTAAGCTTCAGGTTCCCATGCAGAGCTTCAACTAGAAAGATACTCACGTTACCCTTCGGGTGAGGCCCTGAACACTGGAACCTCGCCACCTCATTCACATACCACACCAAACTTTCCTTGGACTCGACCAGTAGAGAAATAGTGCTTTTACTCCTGGTTTCGTCGATTTTCAGCATGCTTTGAACACTGATCAAGGCAACTTCTCGTTCATCATTTATCGTAGCGAGAAGAGCCTGGCCGGGAGCGATCTCTTTTGCCCACGCAAATCCATGGATGTTCTCCGTCAAGGCGAGTTGTTGGCCGGGCACCATCAGCCTCTCACCAACGCCCCAAAGCACGCTCCAGGAGATTAACTCTCTGCGCTGCAGCATTCCCTCGTTTGCCCTTGGTAGAATGTTGGCCACAGCACTGTCGTCTCCGTACATAGCCAAGGTTCCAGAGCCCGTCAAGATGGCGAGTATAGGTCGCCGGTTGAGCCCCAATCCGGATGGCGACCAAGCTATCCTCACAACATGGTTCATACTGCTGCCCACGCCCGTAATGGGTCCGAAACCAGCGCCAAAAGGCTGATTGGCGCGTTGATGAGCGCCGATACCCTCATCATCAGATTCATCCGCAGAGCTCAGCACATCCGAGACGTCGTCCTCGCTGTCAGAGTCGCCATCGTCGTTGCCGCTAGCAGCTGCTTGAACGTCGTAGGGAAACGGAATGTTCTGCGTCTGGAAAAGCTCCCTGTTGATTCGTGGATCGAGTGGCGGGTAAGAGACAGGCATATGTTTGCTGCCTTCTGAGAATTGGGCTCTCGGGTTGTTACGCCGACTTTTGCTCTGGCCTTCTTCATCATCAGACCAGGACGTTGACGGGGTCTCGCCATTGGGTTCCGGGGAGGAACAGCCAGGTATAGAGATTTGGTGATGCCGGACCTGTACTTGGGCGAGCTGCTCCTTCTCCTGCCGCCGTTTCGTGAGGTCTGGATACTCTGGGACGTAGACATGGACGGAGTCGTCGGCGGCTACAGCCAGCTCTCCGTCACATGAGAAGGCAATGGCACGCTTCACCAAGGGCCGTGAGTTGAGGCTGAGTTCCCTCAGGGGGAGAAACTGTGATGTGGTGTAAGCAAAAGGCCACGACGTAGGACAAGTGAGTGGTGTCTGATTGGTTGGCAATAATTTGATAATTGCGGTAGCGTATTAACTGACAATCTGCTTAGGCGGCCGGCCATCCATGCTCATGCAAAAGATTCCAGAAAATTGTGTTTTCGTACAGATATATAGTATTGCAGTACTTAATCAAAAGGCTTTGCGAGGAAAGGTAGAAAACAAAAATGGTTACGTGGCGCGAAAGCAGGTGAAATAAAAAAGACGGTGTTAGCAACGTACCTTTTGTTGGGGCTTGGGCTCGTCGCTCATGGTGATGATTGCCTCTTTGCCCGTGGTTAGTACCTAATTTGTGTGATCAAGCAAGCACCCGTCTAGAGTTTGTTTGTAACAAAGAATATCATATCGGTTCTCCACGAAGGTGTGAATTAGTCGCCAGGATGGCGGGATTCGGAGGGCAAGTGCAATGCGCTTGCTGTTTGGATGTAAGTGAGTGAATGGTTGAACTTTCCACTTTGGACGACGAAGCACGACCAAAGCATGAAACAAAGCATGAACTTTGCCTGCCCCACCATGTCCGGTGCCAACCCTAACCCTTCGACGTATGTCGAAAGAAAGGTCAACGGCTCGAGCTCTGATATCTGGCCTGTGTTCAACATCACCAATCCATGGGCACACCTAGGTATACCGAGCCGAAGTGCAGTTTGCACAAAGGCAATAAGGAATAACATTATTTGTAGGTTTTATGATCCATCTCTCCCGCTGCTTTACTTCTGCGCAGATTCGAGCCATGACCCCATCTGCCATAATACTGCACATCCGACAACAGCTCCCAGCGCAGAAAGCTTCCTCATCAACCAGTTATCATCCGTAAGAGGTTTGGCAAATTGGCTCTTGTGAGTCAAGATGGTCTCGTTGTTTGTCTCTTTCGAAGTCTCGGTAGCGGTTGTGTCCTCCTTCACGACCGAGATGGCTTCCTCTTCATCTGCCTTTTTCCTCAGCGCAGCAATAGTTTTGCTCAGGGCAAGCATGTCCTCTTCTAGGGTCGTGTTTCTGGACCTATCAACCTCCACATTTTGTACGTTGCCGAAGAAGTCCGTCACAAGGCGGCTTCGTGCTGCCTCGGCTCCTCCCGGGAACAAATCGTAACGTACTCCCGCGTTTGAGTGAATCTTCTCGTATGTGTAGCTGTCAAAGAGATCACCGACCGTCTTTTTGCTGCTTGTGTCTCGGACTTCGTTTTCGAGGAACTCGAGGTTATAATAGGTATATCGATCAATGACCGCAACTCCAATGTCGTTATCGGCGTGATGGGAATAAGACGACTGGTCGAGCTCGGAAGAACCGGTCGCGATAATGTTAGGGGAGTATAGTTTGCTGTACATGGTGTTGGCTTGGCAAGTGTCAATCATGAAGAGAATTTCGTGGTATCTGGTCGCAAGAGCAGTTAGCATCATCTGAGGGCTTGCGCAAAGCGAAGGTATAGGGTAACACACCTCTTCTTCTCCCACATTTGCTCGAAAGCATCCGCCAAATCAAAGGCGCCGATTTCCTCGGCATCCTGGAATTTGAGGAACTCGTTGCCTCCGTGTCCCGTCATGTACACCAAAATGTTGCTCCGATCGTCTGTTAATAACCTCTTACTTCGTGGCATCTCATCGCCCACGCGATCAGTTAACAGACGGATGAAGTTTTCGACCGTCACTTCATATCCCCTATAATCGACTTCGATGTTGTCGCCATAGAGATCGACGGCGCGGTCGGCATTCGAGTACACTGTTCCGGGGAAGGCATTTCGGGGATTGCAGGCCATGTCATCCGGAAGCATGAGGATGATCTGCGAGTCGGGAATCCCAAGACGCTTCACGGTGCGGTATATGGACAGCACATTGGCAAGATGACGGTAGTTGAACCAAAACCGGGATGTGCAGACGAGGACGGCCCAATTACTCGTGTGCTCGGCCTCGACAACGGCGGCGGTGCCGAGCAGCATCGCGCCCACGAGGGCCGGCAGCCGAAGAATACTGCTGAGCTTCATCTTTGATTTGGGTCCGAATCCGAGATTTCGAGATCGGTGGCGGTACCTCGGCCAAGTATCGCCGGATGTCGTAGAGACCGGGAGGAGGGACTGTCGTCGGGTGGAGAGGGGTCGAGTGTCGCGTGGATGGGGGTTCGGATGGCAGGTATTCTGATTTCAAAGCGTTTTCGTATCTGTCGTCCCTTCGCGACCCATGATCGAGGCAGTCGGCCGCTCGGTTCTTGTGTCGTCGGGTTGTGTGGATGAGTGTTGAACGGGATGAAAGTGCGGAAGGAAGCGTGCGTGTCGAGAATGGTCGTGCAACGCACTGAGCGCAGAATTCCGGGCCAATCCCGACTGCGTTGCGGTGCCTGCAAGCTGTCATGGGTGCGTTCGTTTAGGCGGCTTTGGGCCTGACAAGGCCTGGTTACCTATTGCTTGGCGTAATGAACGATTTCAGGGGTATCCTCGCAGCCTTGCCCCCCCCCGGCGACGCCAATTGAGGGGTGCCGCTTTCCCCTGGATGGCGAGCTAGGCTTGGCTGGAACAAGAGCTTGAAAGCTTCAAAGATCATCTGACACAAGCGCATCCAAAGTGTACACATTTCGGTGCAAGTTTTCTCGTTGTCATCCGGCAAGAAAGAAAATATTCCGAGGTTCAAACTCACGTTCTCGGTTGAACTTGACGTCGGAGCCATTTCACTACCGGCATGCCGGTACGGGCATCACAAGTAGGTAGGTAAGCTTGCAACGAAATTCTGAGTGGTAAAATACAGGTATTCTCAAGCCCGTTAGTTGACATTGCTCTTCAGCACATAGACAGTTTCCCATCCACAATCTCTACCTGCTACCCACCACACATCATGATCCCACAACCTACAAAAGTCACACGTCCAATCAGTACCAGTTAAACCACCACATGTGATGTGAAGTGACGACAGGATGCATATGTTAATAACCCCAAGGCATCCGAGGTTTACGTTTAGGTGGATGACAAGGAGGGGGGAGTATGGATCCAGATGGTGGGAAGTTCCATCTCTATTACTAACCGCATCTCCATCTCTCTATGCTGTATATTCCGCGGGTCTTTCTCTCTTTTGCTTATAAACGTGAGCCAACAACTATACATAGACCCTGGATGCAAACAACCTCTCCATACCAAAAGGTCACTCCCACGGAATCAGTTATCCTCAGTTCCGCACTCTCCGCAGTCCCATCCAGTGTCTGGTCAGTTGATGTTATTCGCAACCGGCCTATATATCAGAATCAGGCCAGAGCTCTGCCTCTCTCGCGAGCGTGGCACGTTCTGCGTCCGAGTTCCCGGTGCAAGCCAGACCATCCGAACAAAGATATCACGCCAAGAAGGAGCTAAACGAGCAATTACCCGGCTCATTGAAAGGTTGGTCGCCAGCCGGACTTTTGACTTGTCAGGGTTTCCCGTCGTTTCTTCCCAGCAGCGCGCTTTGATGTCGGTCCTGAAGTCTGACTCCCAGTGGAACATCGGCAGCTTCCATCCTTCTTTCTCTTGACGCTGCACGTTTCCTCCACCAGTGTGCGCTAATCCCCACTTCGAGAGCCGCTACGCTGCCCTGGCTGCTACTTTAAACTGGCTGCAGCCCCGCTTGTGTATGCGTCAACTCTATTAACATTAAGAAGTATTAGAGTCCGATCGAGAGGGACAGGACTCAACCTTGCAACACCTTCACGCCTACAACCTGGTCGAAAAGGCTGCCAGTGGTCCGGGCATTACAATATTTACGAGGGGCTGTTGTTTACCTCGCAGAAATCCCAAATCGGACGCCGGTTCTCGCATCGCAATCCAAGACCCTAAGTGACTAATTCTACATTTTGGCTTGCGGCGTCTGGTCGGACAGCCGGTACCTACAAGTAGCCTTCCTTCCCTTCCAGTTCCTCTCGCGTCCCCAACTCCGACTATAAACTCCCATCCGACTACCGTCTCTTTGTCCGCTCCAATATTCCAACCACCCGCTCTCAGTCCACACCCCAGTCGTCTTCTACCGGTCGATCAGGTTTTACACCGATACCGTACTCAGCCCCAGCCTCGTTTTCTAGACGACTGCACAGATATCGCATCTGCTCCGTTCTGGTTCGAAGAGGCCGTGGCTCAGCCCTGACAACTTCTCCGCAACCCATCGTCATCGTGGACCTGTCCTTCTCAGTCAAAGGGACGTCTCGCCTTTCTCCAAGAGCCTGGATCCCGGCTTTGCTCCCTCATCATAGTTCCACCTATTACACACAACCCTACGCGCGACATCGGACCCTGAGTCCCCAGTCCTGAAACCATCAGCCATACATCATTCCTTTGTCCGGAACGAGAATCCCTACGCCCATATAAAGCACCAGCTGCTGTTTCAACGTCTCTCAACACCTCACGTTTTGTCTTGGCCATCAACACACCAAGATCCACATAATACCATCATGGGCAAGCCCCCAGCATACCTTTTTGTTGTGAGGTAAGCTGAACTTCTGTGCACCTTGATGGCCACGCCCTTCCTTTCTGCGTGGCGTCTTGCGGTCTTCGTGTCTCCAATCGTGTCCGGACGTAACTAACCACGCCATGAAACAGGCACGGATTGCGCCTCGATGTAGCTGACAAGAACTGGCATCTCACATCGCCGACTCCCTACGACCCTCCTCTTACATACAGTGGCTGGAACCAAGCCAAAAACCTCGGAGCTCGGATAGGGAACATTATCCGAGAGAGAGTCAAGGAGGACGAGACAGCTGCCAAAGCCGCAGGGCAAACCAATCCCACGGCAAAACCGAAGCGCAAACGGTACGAAGTCGTCATCCATAGCTCCCCGTTTCTGCGATGCATCCAGACCTCCGTTGCCATCAGTGCCGGTTTGGCACAAGACTCGGCCCCATTCGGACCCTCTACGGGCGGCGATAACAAAGAGCTTTCGGGTAGCTTTGCCCATAGTCACCGAGCAAGGCCATCAACCGCGTCCGATCCTGGCAATGGCCCGGCACCTCTGAAGATAGTCCAAGGGCCAGTCATCCGCAAGTCTGTCCTCCGGCTGGACGCTTTTCTGGGCGAGTGGCTGTCTCCTGGCTACTACGAGTTCATCAGCCCACCTCCCGAGTCTGTCATGATGCTTGCAAGCGCCAAGGCAGATCTCCTCAGACGCGAAGATTACAGCAGCTACCCTAACTTCAACGCTTACAATCACTCAAACCTCCAAGGGCAGCTTTGGAGCCCGACTGCGGTGCGCACGCACAGCCCTCTTTCCCCTACAATTAGCTCTGTTGATCCTCTGGAAAAGGATGACCTTTCCAGTGTGGCCAGTTCTCTACCTAGGAGTGAGAGCGCTAGTAGCCAGAGCACATGTCAGTCCCAGCCCGACTCTATCGTGCAGTCGGCTACTCAACCATTTCCAGCCATGGGCTATGTTCCTCCAGTTCCGCATTATGCAGTCAACAACAACAACACAATCCCTCTGGGCTACGTCGCACATGCTCGGGATGCGTGCTGTGATATTGACTACCAATGGGATTCGATGCGGGCTCCTCTGAACTGGGGCGACGGGGGTTCCTTCCCAGAGGAATGGACATCGATGCATAGAAGGTTTGGCGCAGGTATCCAAATGCTGGTTGACTGGTATTCTACGGCCGAGCACCCTACCAAGATGGTCACCAAGACGGTTTCGCGTTTCGGCCGGCCGGTCCAGGCCCAGGAATCTGACGACAGTGAGGACGTGGAGACCGAAGCCATCGTCATCTTAGTATCTCATGGTGCGGGATGCAATGCATTGATTGGCGCCATCACCCATCAACCTGTTCTGGCAGATGTTGCAATGGCGTCACTCACAATGGCTGTGCGGAAGCCGGATCAGGAACTGCATGAGAGCATTGAACGATGCCAGAAGGAAAAGACGCCTATCCACCACTACTACGATCTCAAACTGTTTGCCAATACAGATCACCTTCGCACTCCTGGTCAAGCACCCAACCTGTCGCGGTCTACCTCTATCTCTATCGCTAGCGTCGCCGCTGCCCGGAACCGCTACACCCACTCCCACTCTATCTCTACGTCGTCTACATCGAACTTCTCTTATCAAGACATTGTGGAAGGGCGAGGGGGTGTGTCTAACAGCCCCCTGAGCGCCAGTCGCAGAGGTTCTAGCGGCTCCTCCACGACCCCTAGGTTTGTTTTCGGTACCTCCAATGCCAGCAATGGAAATGGAGGCGGTATCACGGTCGGAAGTGGCGTGTCATCGTTCGGCTTGAGCAAGCCTTCGAGTCTGTCAACAGGGCTTGGACGTAAGCCGTCTATGGGACTGTGGTCGCCAACCAGCCTCCGTAACAGTACTGGATTCGACGATGACGATGACGACGACAACATGGTGTTGAATTTTGGCACTCCGGCAAACGATAAACCCTCTACTATGAAGTCATGACCCGATCGAAAGCAAGCCGGCAATTAGTTTGATGACATGTGCAGGTAACTACCTTTTGCACAGATTTCCTTGGTTGTATTCATCTACATGAGCATATGGGATAAGCGGGCGTTTTGGAGTTTTTTCACCACTTTGTCTTGTCGCGATACCGGAAGATGGTATCTTCTTTTGGGCGTGAAAATTGGTGAAACTTGGGATATCTTTGGATATGGTCCGGGCAGTAGGGAAAATGGAAGAGGAGAAGAGAAAGAGGGTAGGATACATTCCGGGTGCACACCCTCACAGGAGAATGAACCTACTCGGCTTACATGTCTTGCTTTTATTTGCTATGGCTCTATGGATATGGTATGACGGCGCAGTCGGTCTTTTTTTCTCCTCTCCTCATTCTCCCAAGCATTAGTTAATATGTATCTTCATCATAAGGAAGTTATTATTTTGGGAATCTCACAACAAGGTTGCCTTCTCACTTGTCTGTGCACAACCTGTATGTACGTACACAACCTACAGCCGAGCGAAGTCGGAGATGACAATAGCCACCAAAGCGTCTGAAGCATTGGCCGCGACGTCATCTGGTGTGATGTCGAACATCAAAGCTCCTTGAGGTAAACAAACATATTTGGAGAATGAACCCGATTACACTGCTTTAGTTAGAACTCCTCTCACTACCTACTGTGTATGAATGCGATTTAATCTGTGACCCCCCGCCCCCCACTCCCCTCCTCTTGCCTGGCTTTGCTGACATGACTCCGTTTCTTTCTGTTTAAAGATAAATTTGAAGGACAGGCTGTTTGGATTTCGTTTCAACAACATGCCACATGTTGTTCGAACTTGATAAAGCCCCTTGATCCGGTTGGCGGTGTCGGTTCACGGGATTGAAGTCGGAGTTCTGGAAATTTGTTTTCTCCCAGTTTCTTTTCCTCTTTCTCGTTTATTTTAGATGGTAGTTGTAGGTAACATCCAACCAAAACGAAGGCGAGCGAGCGAGTAATGGGGGCCCTGGTCATAACGAAACGGAAATCGAACGGCCATCGAACTACCGTACCTACACTCCTACAGTACCTGGTACGTACGGGCTGGCGCAGCCGAAACATAAGCATGGGTAACGATATGGGAGAATGAAAGAAAGTGGAAGGAAACGATTCTTTGTGGAGTGTTTTACCCGCGCCACGGCGCCGCGGCCGCTACCGTACAGTATGCAGTTGTTGAATCCATCCGCCTTAACCCCGGCGCGTCCCGGGTTGCCCGCCGAAGCATGGACCCCTAGGGCCCACTTTGCTACTACGGATCTCGGGAGGATCTCGGGGGGTCGGGGGTATCTTGGCGCCCGTGCCGCTCAAGGGAGGGCCCACGGGGGTCAGTGTTTTGTACACCAACGGCCAAAGGGAGGCACGGGGGGTTGGTTCGGGGGGTAAAAAAAAAACGAGTCTCTGATGTCACCCTAGCCCACTCATCCCTTCAAGTTCAGAAGACGAAAAGTTCACGGTTCCGCAACAGAAACATATCGGATCACCGCTGGCTTGTGAGGCTGGTTACTTACTCTATGGAGAGGAAGGCAAACATTTTCTGTTGCCCGTGCTGAGTGCTGCTGCCTGTCCATCTTCGGGGTCTGGGACTGATGGGTTCCGTCATCTCTATGGTAGATACTTATCATCGGTGGTGGGATGTTTCTGGCCCTTACTCGGCAGATCTTCTGGCACTTCTGAGCAGCAAGGCAGATCAGATCAGGTCAGACTCGGGAGTTTTCCAATCCAATGCCATTTCCATGGTCGAAAACGACGAGACCCAATCCCATTGCGAAACCAAACCAGGCTTTTCTTTCAAGTCTGGGCCATTCATAGGTTTCCTTCCGATATCTTATCTTGTCATTGCGCCCACTCAGGGACCCATTGATAGACGGTGATGGATACCACATCAGCCCTGCCACTGCCCGGTCAAACGTGCGGTTGTGTCTCTGCACCCTGCTGAGGCAACCATGCTGAGCAACTCACGTAGAGGCCGCAGAGGTGCAGACTGGGACACTGAATGGAACCATAGACCCCCCTCGACTCTTGCTCGATAATCCTGTCCCATCAGCCCATCCATATCCTGACTTCTCGGTCGCATCCTGGACACTCTGAGCAAGACGTTTCGGCCACTCGTTCGGCCTCCTGCTCCTGTTTCGCGGCATCCAGTTTCTTCTGCGGACCTGCGGCTCCATCCGGGACTTGGCTTTGTACAGACGCCCATCATCCATGTTACATGTGCTATCAAGACGACACATAACGTCACCGCCGCTCTGTTGGTTGTTGCGGGCGCATCCGCCGTGTGCGCGGACGGCTCGTTGGGGGTACGGTAGCGACCTACTAACGTAGCTACGACGCTACACTTGGCATCCATGACCACCACAACACAAGGATCTGCCATGATTTGAATCACCCAGCCAACCTGGTCCGCCCCTGAGAACAGACATCTAGAACCGTTATCCTGATCTGAGTTGGACTTTCTCTTACCTGTGACACATCTGAGATACTGTTGTGGAGGGCTTCTTTATATACCGTGGTCCCTTTGGTCGTCACGCCCGGCCTACCTACCTTTTCCCAAGCTTCATCAGACAATCGAGCACCTGCGATATCGCACCATACCAACCTACGGCTTTGTTGGACAAGCTTTCTCTATTGAATTGAATCCGATCCGAACAACTTATTGATATAACATCCTTCAGACGGCGACCAGATGGGTCCTACAAGTGCCATGGACTCGTTGCCCAACGAGGTATGTTATCGCAATGTTATCCAGGCCTTATCACTTACACGGAATCCCCTCTATTTGCACCTTATCGCACTAGCGCCAAGCTTCAAATCCGCTAACAAACACCCCCCCGAAACCCAGATTCTGAACGACATCCTCGACCTGCTTCCAACTCGCGCTCTTCTTCCTCTCATTCGCGTGAACAGCCATTTCTACTCGGTCGCTTTGCACATCCTCCACCAGCGCCTTTTGCAGGCCGCTGCCCTCCCAGAACACCGCCTCATTCTCGAATGCTACCACCCAAGCGCGAAGCTCTCGACCCCATACCTCTACTGCGATTACCTCCGCACAGATAAAATCGGCGCTGGCCCCAATGGCGACAAGGAAGCCCACGGGCCCGAACCCGAGCCGACTCTTGCCGGATTGAAGGGGCTATACTCGCACTTCAGACCCGTCGTTCAGGAGGAGAATCGCCGACCAAGGCTACGCTATCCAAGACGTTCGCAGCAGCAGCAGCAAGCCAGCAACAACAATGGAGCGCCGTCCACAGAAGAGGTCGAGGACCACCGACCGTCCGAGGAGGTCTTTCTCGACGAAGGCGAGCTTTTCTCTCAACTCTGCTGCACAACGAACTTGGTCAAAGTCGGACCGAAGCCCGGCTTTTTCCTCAGCAACGTCAACGTAAGCGACGGCGTCATGCGTGTCTGGCGCAGCTGGCTATGCGATCAGACCAAAACCCCGACGTCATCAGTATCGTCATCAGCGTCTTCATCCACCACAGATCTGCACGGTGGTGCCAAGCGAGAAGCAGCAACACCAGCAGCAGTAGCAGGGAAGGCACTTGAATCGCCCGAAGAAAGAGCTGCCAGGCTAGCAAAAGCCAAAGCGGCCCGCGCCGTTCTCTGGGCCGACCCCGAGCGGAACGTTGGCGTCCGCTTCCGCGTCGTGGAGAAGCCGACGGACGACTACGTCAATAACCGCCACTACCGGCGCGAGCAGCCGCTGCTTGTGCCGGCCGACGAGGCGTACGATGAAGATGAGCGACCGGTTGCCTACCAGCTCGAATTTGACGAGGTGCTGGTGAGGTCGAGCAGGCTGCTCTTTATGATGCAGAAGAGCGAGGAAATTAGCGAGGGTGCGGGTGGGAACCATGAAGGTACGGCTGTCATTGTGTCTTTTGCATGATTGCGAGCTTTGTCCCTTTTGCCCTGTTCTACGTGATCCGATTCCCCAACAGAAGCAACAAGCTTGGGTGTCTAGGAGGGGAAAGAGAAAGAAAGATGGGAGGTAAGTAGTATGGTTGCTTCAAGTGATGCCCGTAGTCACATGGGTGCGAAGGCTGGACGGAGCAAGGTGTTGTGGTGCGATAAACCGGTTCACCACGGTTCGTTTACCCCCATCTCCTGCAGTTCGGTGTCCTTGCCCATGTGACTGCGAGCAAGGCTAGATGACAACCACTGTCTTACGGAATCGGGCTACCTGAATATGGGTTGTATCAGCACAAATTCGGATGTTTGAAGAGCATTAGCTGACACTTTCTCCGTGCAATAGCGGTCTTCATTGACCCAGCCGGCCCAGTCCCAGTTCCAGTCCAGATGATCTTCTGGCCTTCGATGCTCATTGGCGGGGACTCTAATACCTTCCATTGGAACCACATGAGCGCTCGGGAGATGACTGGTCGGGCATAATTTGACTGAAGAGGATTGCAGTTCTTGGTGCAATCAAACACCATCCGCTTTCTTTCTCACAAATTGCTGGACATGGAAGACTGTTGCCACCTGCAATGTTCTGTCCTCTATTCCTCTCATACAATTATCAGCGTCTGCCGAGGATAGACGCCATCTCCGCTTACTTCTTTTCTGTTTTTACTTTTTTACTTGGGCAACAAGATCTTCCCAACGGAACAAGACCATTCGAACACCGATAGACAATATGCACTACACGGTACAGATGGTATAGACAGTAACACGGGATACGACATGGTGATGAGGGGCTACACGGGGCGCTCAGACAGATACAGATGCCAATATGTTTATGGCTGATATGAGTTATGAGTTTACGGGTTTTGAAAGAGGTTCCTGGGTCAGAGTATGATTTGGGCAAACATTGTATTTGTTTTTAGTCACTGGCATACGAGTCAGACATTTAATTGAAGCTATGACAATTTCTCCTCACCGCACTGGATATGGCAAAGTCTCACATTGATAGATGAGCGACGCCTTATACCGTTTTCTTGTGCTAGCTGAAGATTTCACCTTCTTGGTTTCCCGCGGCCGCTTTGAACATCGCGACATAAAGGAACGAGATGAATGGAATGGAATCTTCAACTGTATATAGCATGGAATAAACTATTACGTCCCTTGGAATCGCATGTTACATTCTAACAGAATCATCAAATCTTCAACAAAACCGAGGGAGGGAAGACCGTTCAGCTTCCCAGCCCTTAAGACTTTCCCCTGTCCCTTAGCCCTCGAGAACCACGCCTTTGACTCGCACTTCCCCACTTGACCTATCACGAACATCGGCTCCTCGTCGGTCGTTCTCGACGTGTGGTTATGGGTAACACTCTAACATCCTGAACTCGTAGGTGAGCTAAACGCTTTGAACGGCCACAACGTTACCGCTTGGATGTGATAACATATGCCAGCCAGCACCCGTCATTCAGGCGGGATCCTTGGGTTTCCATTTGGATTTCTGATCTTTCGTCCGATCTGAACTGTCATCGTACATCAGAACTCGTCCTGCCCATTTCCTCCAAAACTAGTTATCGGCTTCTTCTTTTATTCTTGCTATTCATCTTGAACATCAGTTTACCTTCGATCATATATTTTGCAATGATGCGCCAGCCGATAATCTAAGGTACGTGCTCTGACAGTTGATATCTCTGTAAGTAGCCAGGTGAAAAAAAAAAAAAAAAAAAAGGGAAAAAAAAAAAAAAAAAAAGGGATGACAACAAAATAGGAGCAGCAAAAAAAAAAAAAAAAAAAAAAGCCACAAACCAGTGAGAGGGTACAAAAAAAAAAAAAAAAAAAAAAGAAAACCCAAACGAGCAACTCAGCGGAGCGGGAGGAGTATGTCATGGGGGAGGGGGAAGTTGAATCCAGCAGGGTATGTATACACACACGCAGTCAACGGGAGAAGCTGCTATTTTTGGAGCAACGTAGTACTATAGGTGTAGACATATGTACATACAAATAACTGTACCAGCTGAGCTGGGCTACCGTCTGTATTTCCACGTAGGTAGAGGTAGTAGTGTCCTACGCGGTACCTGAATCGCCGCGTCTGAGTGGCCGGGGTTTTCGTTTCAATTTATATCCATCTACATACCCACATGGAAACAAAGCGATGGGTGAGAGAGAGTTTATAGTAGTTCTCGTGTGTCCAGCCACCAACCGTTCCGGCCGTAGGATGAGTACCTATGTACCGCGGACCAGAAATACGAAGTAGGTAGGCAGCGGGTTCCCGCGATGGGCGGTTCCAGCCTTTGATTGTGTGGATGGATGGATGGATGGATGGATGGGATTCGTTTCCGATCTTTGATGTGTGGTTCTATCGCCCTTTTTTTCCTTCTCGGTGTAACCAACATCTTCTTGAATCTTTGATGGGCTTGGGAGGGAGTGACAGGAATGGGATGGTGGCGATGCGGGCCGGATATAGGGAGCTGATTCCGGCCCTTGTGGGAAGAGGGCGCTGTATCTGCTGAAGAGTGAGTAAGTTCGAATGAATGTCACCTATACACAGAATGAAGCGTCATAATCTGAAAATTGGAATAGAGGTGATAACATGGAGAGCAGCGAGGGCGAAGCGGAGAGGAGGTGGAGGTGGAAGTGGAAGTGGGCGCCCTTTGATCAATTCTCCGTTCAGGGACTGCACTAACAATATTCTGGGCAAGCCCCTGAGCGAAGTAAACAATGGAATGGAATCCCCCAGGTACCTCCTCGCTGCCTCTCCACTCGAGTCCGCCAGCAACTAGGAAAGAAGGTGGTGTATCTTTCCGACGTCGTGTCCTCGTGTGAGTGTGATGAAGAACGGAAATTGATGTTGTCCCTCCTTGGGACCAAAACAGGGCGTCAAGCGCAATATAATAAAAATGGCATTGCTGCTTTCCTGGACACTTGTCGACACATTGAGCTTCCATTCCTTGGTGTGGTCGCAGGGCTTTTTGTGTACGGGCGTAAACCAGCTGCGGTTCCACTGTGACGGTGTACCCCTTGCAGCAGAGACACCTCACAACCCCCCCTGTGGCACACCCCCTGTACGTGCTATGGCTCGCTATTGTCCCGCGTCCAGGAGCGCAGAGATTCTGATCTTTTTCAACAACGGGGTTGGATGAGTCGGCATGTTGTGACTTGGTCCAATGCTGTCCGACAGGACAGAGAGGTAATGACTGGATGTTGTGTTCTCGTGTAAGCAATTTGCGACGGGAGACGGCGATTTACCTGCGAAAAGCGCAACAATTCGTTGACGATGAAGGGAAGGAACTGCTTGGAGGAGGAAGACCCAGAGCTGGCTGAACGGGAAGGTGCAGGTGCCGTGACACAGAGCACTTCTTTTCTTCTTTCTCTGTTTCTCTATTTTCGTTGGAGGGATCCAACCCGATGCAGTTTCTCCTTCTCGCGAGCCGCGCTTGTCCTCTACTAGATGTACCTTTACCGCACAGCATTTTTGACATATGCATCTTTCTTTCGTTCTCTTACACACCAGAGTCAGAGGGCGGGTGAGGTGGGGTTCTCGTCTTGCCCGAACACGACGGGCCAGAACCGTCACCAATGAGTCTCCCTTGGTGAAAATCAACCCCTCTTCTTCTTTTCTTTTGTCAAGCGCACGATCAGACTGGCATCCTTTTCCTGCAGTATGAGAGGACCAAAGCTCCCACAAGAAACCGATGCGGAACAGGTCAACGCCGTGGCTCCCGAGACATTGGCCCCCCCTCCCGCTTCAAGTCCCGTTTCAGCTCGCTGAGAACAAGGTGGTTGAGCGTGCAACCGACTACTTGGGTGTCCAGGGGTGTTCATGACGCCGGCCTGATGATCGCCGTCGACCCGACCACCCAAAGGCTCGCTTGCAACTCATATCTACCCTCGCCAGCAACGTATCGGGACGGGTCCTTATTATCCCTGACGCTGTGAATCTTGGGGTTGCTTCCTACACCCGGCCAGCTATTCGTTCGCGACTCGGGGGGCTTCTGGGTACGGCGTGGATACTCGGCGGTGCGACCTGAGCTAGCGGTCTTTCTGTCGCTAAGAAAAGAAAAGCACATGACATCTAGCTCTTCAGCTGCGCGAGTAGCAAGTGTCTTAAGCATGTCAGGTACATTTCTGATCATCTATCACTGAAGGGATTCCTTTTTCTGAAGTCGGGTTGGGGTGGAGGCGGAGCCCAGCAACTGGGAGGTTTGAGAAGAGGGAGCCAAAGACAGGGCGAGAAAGAGCTGTAACATTCCTTTTCGAACTTTCCCAAACGAATCGTTTCCCGCCAGGATGGTAATCATCTACCCTGTCAACAGGTAGGGATCGTACCCATCTCTGTCTTGCCTTGTCCGGAACTGTTCCGGCTTTGTGTTACTACAACCTATGCTCCCTCATGGCGCATTTGATCGCCATGGGTCCTCCCCCTCGAGGTTCTCATGCTGACTAGTAGCTCCATTTGTCTCTTGATTCCTTGTCAAGCTCGGCCAGATGTGGGCGTCAACATGTGGCAGAGAACACGAACGTCATGAGCAGGGCTCCCAGTCTCACAAGTGTGAAGTGTGCCTGATCGTGTGTGGGCCTCCTTCTGTGTGACATGTTCCGTCCGTTCTCTTAATACCGTTGTCCAGTAACCCTTACCTTGCTCATGTTTCCCTCTTTGCTCCTCTTTGACAGTCCGTTCCTCGTTTGTGTCACTCGACTGCTTCGTTATCGACTGCTGGACAGCGGCAACCGGAAATCAACACTCGCTCTGGCAACAAGCAGCTGGGTCGTGCTTTGGAATCAACATCTTTGGACATCGAGCTTGCTCGGCTTGGTACTCAGGAGATGGACAGCCGGGATATACTCGGCCTCAGCATGGCGTTGCCTCCGCCTCCCCTTTCGAGGAAGGATCTTACTACCAAGGATCCTTCCAGGACACCTTCTATTACAAGTCCGTCAGATATAAGGCCTCTTACAACCACGTCACCACCACCAAACAGACCACTACCGCCAACACCAAGCTCAAAGAAGGGTACAGCACATAATCGATCTGGATCAATGTCTAGCACTCTTATCTCTCCTAGAAGTCCGCCGCCGACTCGCCCATCGCCCTTAAAATCGCAAGCTTCGCTGAGCACGATCTCCGAAGCACGGTCAGAAAGAGCGTCATCACTAGGGAAGAAATCTGGGCATTCAAGACTACAGACGCAATCTTCATGGACATCTCTAGCTTCAACGACAAGGACCATCAAATATGGGCGAGGCAAGCACAGTGACATTGAGCTGGTACCGCAACCAAGCGATGATCCTGAAGACCCATTGGTAAGTTTATATGCCTTTCTGCCACCCACCATGCAATTCCACAAGCTCACGTTTTCAGAACTGGCCCCGCTGGCGTAAGGAGTCCAGCTTTTTTGCTCTGCTGCTGGTGGTAGCTTTGAATGGAGTCATGAAGACAGCCTTCATTAGCGTAAATGCTGAGGCGGCCAATGGGCATCGTGTATCATACATTGCTGCCGCGGCGCTGACAGGTGTTCCGTTGATTCTATCAGCTTTTACAGGACTCATCAGTCTTGTGACATCGAGAATATGCGGGAAAAGACCGATATACCTTATCTCATTATCACTGGTATTCATCGGAACCATATGGAACACCAGCGTGAGGACCAGCTACAGCCAATGTCTGGCCGCAAGAGTTTTTCAAGGTTTGGGATGGGGTGCATTTGATACCCTGGTCCACAGTTCCATTTACGATATGTTCTTTGTAAGTCCAGCCTCACTTCCCTCGAGCTTATTCTGTACACAACTAACGTTTTCAAGGAACATGAACGCGACCTCCGGGTGTCCATCTACACCATTGTTGCCATCACAACCACATGGGGTCCACCCCTGCTTGGCGGGATATCATCACGAGGCCCGACTGGGTTCGAGTTGCAGTTCACAATCCTCAGCTGCTTTTTGGTCCTTGCCGTGCCGGCCATTGCCTTGGGTGTGCCCGAGACAGCATATGACCGCAATTGTACACTACCGCGGATTGATGAGGGTAGTGAAAGTCCCTATAAGGCTTCCATGTGCCAGGGTATCAGACGGGACCGTATCATTGATACCATCAACGACTACATTGTGAAGATAAAACCATACTCCTACCGTGGATCGGCAGATATGGTCACTTTTCTCCAAGCACCTCGTGCTTTCATTGCACCAACTACACTTATCCTCTTCTTCACATCTCTATTCCCGTACTCATCGCTATGGGCCTTCAGCTCTTCGCTCTCTCTTCTATTTCACTCCACCTATACTACAACCACTATCGGTGTCCTCGTGACAGGCCCCTGGCTTCTCGCCACCGCTACAGCGGCCTTGTTCACGCTCCTCCCGTTGTTCCTCCCTCGTTTACAGTCACAGTTCCCCGTTTTAGCGTCCATCCCAACGCACTTCAACAACAAGCTGAATACGGTCGCCATCACAGCTGGTTCTCTCCTCGCGTTTATCGGCATCCTCGCCTTTGGTCTCCATACAGACGCGAGAATCCACGATGGCGAGATTCTGACGACGAACCTCTCAGCAATTAGTTTCGCTCTCGGTCTACTCGCCGCAGGGGCGTACGTCCTCGACGCCATCTCCCGCCCCTTGATCCGGTTGAGCACGGCCTCGGCTTCCTCCTCCAATAATCATACCGTTGATACTAGGACCGCAAACGATATGGCAACCGGCGTCGCCTGTTGGAAGACGCTGTTTGCCGGGATTTTCGTCATTGCCGTCCCCAGTGGCATCTCAAAAAGTCCGCGTAGCAGCGAGGTTCTTTCGTCGGGACATGGGCTGAGAGATATGTGTATTGGGTTTGCGGTGGCACAGGTAGTCATTGTGGCCGTAGCGGGGGGTGTTTGGTGGTTCTTTGGTGAGGGGGTTAGGAGGTGGGATGGCAGGGTGATGAAGTTGGAGGCTTCAGGGGTGGTGGGCAAGGGAACCAGTGGGAGGGAGGGGAGCTTTTTCGATACAGACTAAAGGACTTCGAGAACAGCAAACGGGTTTGGATAAAGGAAACGGTATGACTGCGATGAGTGATGATGAGCATGGGTACTCTACGGATATTGAACATATAGGACACTCATTTATGATCCACGGATGGTTTACGGGGAAAAGGAAATGGTGTACAGGGTAGAACATATTCTTTCAGGAAAGGAACTTGGGTCGGAGAGCGATTGATCCCAATGATAGTACTCGGTAATATGGCTTGTGTCTTTTGGATAGTACTAGCAATGTTATTACCGACACTGTCTTCTTCACAACCTAGAAAAATGCGTTGTGTCTAGCTTGTCAATGACGTCCCTTTTGCTGGCCGTTGCACACGGTTGATAAGCAGGGGCTTGTGACAATTGTGTCTGAAGTCCAAAAAAGGTTCAGAAGGTCAAGTCCCGATTCAACCCAACAATCTACGTCCTTCTAGAATCCTTCAATTCCTTATGGAAAGAAGCTATGGCGGATCCCTGGGGAGATCAAACGGAAGTGGAAACCGGAAGTCAGACGGGAGGACGTGGGAGTTAAAACCGGAAGCGGCAGCCAACATATGTCAACTGGTCGATCTTAATGCTTAAATGTCAACCGTTCACAGCGAAACGCCGAGCATCATGCAAAGCCGAAAAATAAAGGCAGCAAAATAAAGGAAGGAAGAGATAAAAAATTCGAGGGACAAAAAAATCGCAAAAGAAATGGACGAGCTGGGAATCGAACCCAGGACCTTTCGCATGCTCGGAAACATGCTAAGCGAACGCTCTACCAACTGAGCCACACGCCCGATGATTTGTTATTATTGCAAGATAATCAAAGAACTAGTACTCATAGGGCAAGCTTTATTTCTGACACCCCCCCCCACGCTCTTTCCCCTCCCTCCACTTCATTTCCCACATTCCCGTCTGCATCACAAATTCTCAACACAACATCATTTCCCCAAAAGATTTCCATGGTTTGAATGGACGGCACATTTTTTTGCGCTTTCGTGAGGAGAACATCGTTATGTCATTTCCGTCGACACGCTTCCAGACTCATGGACTCCTGGACTCCTGGGGGCCGACAAAGATACCCCGCCTCAGCCCACCTACGACCTGTCAAGTGACAACTCGTTCAATCCGATGATGATCCTGCGTCGTTGATGCTTGACGGCAAGCGTGCCAGCGTCTTTTCATTCGCCCGGATCCTTCGTGCTACGCCAAATGAAGGCATACACATCTCCAATTTCAGCAGGCCGAGCCCAATTTGCCTGATGTTTGTAACAATGCGAACGAGTTGACAGGGCTCCCGAGTTGCCGAATCAGCATTCTTCTTTTGGGGGCATTCAACACAAGGCCAACACGACGTGGCCAACACAGCCAACCCCGCCGCTGTTGGCCTCAATACCTCATGGCCTCACGAATGGGTCTTTGTGGTGTTTGAGAATGTCACTCCCACGATATTATCGAGGGCGACCGTGGGTGAGCTTGTTATATATATCATCATGGACGACCTGACTTTTAAGAAGAAATCGGTAGCGCCACACATCCACTGTGGTATTCTTTCTTCCCAAATCTACAAGTTCCTTCTATATTAACGTCGCTTTCCAAGAACAACATCACCTCCCATCCAGCCATGGCACATCCCAAGCCAAACATCATAGCTCCCGCCGCATCGAATGGGCAGTACCAACACTTTGTCCCCCAATTTCTTCTCAAGAACTTCGCCAACAGGGTCCCCAAGGCACCCAAGACACCCAAAGGAACTTCAAAGCCGAAGTATGAGAAGGGCATGTTTCCAGGAGACCTGGTAATCAACAGCCTCGATATGACCCAGGACTCCGCCGTCTTCATCGAGAAGCCCGTTTCCAGGATCCTTGGGCAAATCAACATGTACGACGACTTCACGAAGCCGGACAAAGAGCGGAGACACGTTGAAAAACTGTTGTCCAAACTTGAGGCTCAGGCAGCCCAGATCATCACCAAGGTTACCAAAGCCTTGGAAGCCAAGGAGCCCACAGTTCGTCTCATGTGGGATGAACGCTCCCTGCTCCGCAAGTTTCTCTTCCTCATGAGGTATCGCAACATCGGGTTCTACAAGCGCTTCCACCACGAAAACGCAGCCGAATACTCCGATCAGGACCGCGAACAGCTTCGCGAATACATGACCGAGAATCCTCAGTTCAAAACACCCATGGATGTTTGGTTGAATAACATCAAGACCATCGTCGAGCTCGAAATAGATCCAGACTTCAAGTGGGCCCGCGAAATCGGCAAACATATGTATCCCGACGATGCTCAATGGTTCCTCTACAATCTCCAATGCAACACAATGGCATTTTGCGTCCCATCGAACCCCGAAGATGAGTTCATCCTCACTGATAACAGCTACACGGTCTCCGACGAGGTGCAGGTGTTCGCTCGAAACGTCCGATCGGACCGTATTGAGACACTTGCGCGGGCACCTTTTCACGAGTTTGCGCCAGTATCCCCCAAGCTCATGATCGTTCTTCGCTCCCACTTTTTGTCTGAGCCACTAGAAGACAACATGCCGGGGATCAAGGCTAGAAGGGAAGCCAAGCGAGCCTCTGCTTTTGAAGGATTTGGCCCTGTTCAGAGTGTTCTGGAGGACCTTCCCGTCGGCAAACCACACAACAGTCATCTCAAGCTTGTTGGTAATCTTCTTTGCCTTCGAGAAGGGGAAGACGGCCGCCAGAGAAGAGAGCACAGCTATCTCTTCCATTTCTTTTCGGTTGAAAGCCGCCACGTCCACACGATAAATTCGATTCTTCTAGATAAATGCATAAACTGTACTAGTATCATCTTCAACTCCAAAGACGCCTTCGGAAAGACACTCGAATGGTATCTGACTGCCCCGTTGGAGTACGGCAAGACATTGATCGGGGAGAACGCAGATTTGCGTGAGAAGATTTTGATGAAACTGGAGGCGGTTTCCCGGTCGCTTGGTTCGAAGAAGGAAACGGAGTGGACAAGGGTCAACAACTGTCATGTGGCTGCTGACCACGAGTACAGTCGACGTGTTGACCAGCAAGTGAGGAAGAACTTCAACAAAGTTTTAAGTGGCAAGAAAGCCCCCACACCACCAGATATAAACAGCTTTGAAGGTATCAGCGCCGTCATCGATGAGGTGATGAAACAACCAGGGGCGACACACGACGGAGGTCCTCCTGGATTCAATCCCAGAACCCAATACCGGATGCTAGGTACGAAATTACTCTTGAGAATCACAGACGGACATGAATTTACTGACCAAACATACCACTAGGCGGTTCTATCCATACTGCTCACAAGGACAAAGAGCAAGCTATCTTGATGATGACGCTGCGCATCAAGATTGACCACTGGTCGCGCGGAGTAGACGAGGAAATCCGCCATCATAACCGACAGATACTTATCGCCGAGTACCTACGAATGCCCGCTCGAAGACTATGGAGCTATATGCATATTGTCAGGTACATGTACTTGAGTGATACATACTTCATACCCATTAGACTCAAGCCTGAACAGCCGGAGGATGCTGTCATATATGGTAGGCGGTGCCCTCTCTACCTTCCCACAAAGTGTCACAGACTGACAATAGTGAAGCCAAGGATTTGTTCCAACCGGACAGGTTGACTTCGTTGATTTATAAAGCTTTCACGTATGATATTGAATGTCGCAAGTTCCCCCATATCGATATATGGGGTGAGCTCACACCCGACTCAAAAAACACGGCATTGATGAAAGTGTTGGCATTCGAGGTTCAAGGTACGGACACTGAAGACATTGCTCTGACTTTTTGGTACTGCGCTGGGTATCTGCTAACTGCCCCTATTTATCATAGGTACCGAATCCATTCTCAATTGTGGTACGTGAACCCCAATTCCTTTCCCTCCAGTGTCCCCTATGCCCAAACCCTTCACCAAAGACCCCGATGGAACGTATCCGTTCCCGCCCGGAGAGGGACCGAAACTCCAAAAACTCCGTCCATGCCATGTGATATGCAAATCTCCCGCTCCAACAAACAAAAGCACAAATCCCTTTCAGGGAACAAAAACACCCTCCAATGAAGCCCAAACCCGTAAGAAAGAAACTCCCCATCGAACTAACCCAATTCCCAAACCACAACAGGAATTCCCACCATCGAAAACCTCGCCGCCTCTCTCGTCTCCCAGACTCCCTTCGTCGGCATGGCCCTCGGCATCTGGTCCCGGAACCCGCGAAACCCCAACTATCACCCGACTCCATCCCCGGACTTCGAGTCCAACCTCGACGCCGCCCTCGACCTCTTCGACATCCTGCACCGCACCGAGCTCGCCCTGCGCGTCATCTGCCGCACCCGCTTCCTGGGTATCATGGAATCCGAGCGCGTCCGTCACGGCTTAACTCCAAAGACGCTGCAAGATCTGCATAAAGTCTTCTTCACCGCCGTTTATCCCACCCCACCAGACGATTGGAGGTATCGCCTCTGGTGAGGATGACGACGACGACGCCAGCGACGAGTATGCGTACGGGAACGGTGTAGGCGGCACCGCCCCGTGGTGTTTCTGGTGGTCGAACTGGGGCAGCTGACAAACAGCAGTCGGACTCTCCGTACACGTACTCGACACATAATACGAAGTCGTGGTAGTGGCAGCAGTAGCGAGGGTGGTGGCAAAGTTGAGCGGGTTGCCGGGCACATCTTGGAGGGCGGCGAGGTAGACGAGGATGGGCTTGGAGAGCTTGTTGAGTTGTTGACTCAGCTTGAGCATCCTGGCGATGAGCATCTTTCTTTATTTTGTTTGTGGTATCGTCGTGGGGCTGTGTATGCCCACGAGCGATCCGTATCTCCGTCCTTTCCGTGCCGGTTTAGTCCGGTTCGGACTCGGACGATTTCTCTTTTGATGGTTTATTCGGCTGGCCGTTCGTGATCATAGGGATTGACTTTGGCTTCGCTGCAGGTGGACGGCAGGTACGTCAGTGATCGTGATGATTGATGAGACTTTCTCAGGGTTCATGGTTTTGACATTGGGGCGCAGCTTATGTTTGTATGCGGCGATGGAGCATGGGGCCGTGGTGCTGGGTCCACATGGGGAGAAGAGCAGGTCGGGTGGTGTGATGAAGCGAATGAAGTCATTTAACTAGGCGAAATGTGGCGGGTTGGAGATCATTCACCACCGCAGCGAGATTCATGGAATGACCCGGTGAGAAATTTTCATTCGGTGGATAACCATTATGTTTAAAGCTATTTTTATAGACTGTTTTTTAACAGGATGCGGACCGGAAGCCACCAAGACTCCTTCGAGGTCATTAAAAGGGCAAGACTTCGACAATCGCCGAAACAGACTCGTCGCTCCATCAGTCCCCGACATTAAACCTCATCAGCCTCGACTTCTTGATCTCTTCGCTTTCCTGGGTGCCTCCCTCGGCCTTGTATCGCTCATATCATTGACCGGCCTTCCATTTCCCATTCCGTTCATTCCGCGGTCGGCGCCAACACCTGTCCCATCTTCGGCGAGGGCGCGCTCCAGCTCCTTTTCCGCCTTTATCGTCCTATGCCTTTTCCACTCCCACCACATTGACATGGCAGTCCATAGTAGCCAGAGGGTCAGCGCGACAGCGACATAGGTTGTTATGAGTTTCTGCCTGCGCCTTTGACCTAACCTGTCTTGATCCTTTGCTGCCATTAGGCCTATATAGCCATTGATCATTCCAACCGTGATGGCAGTCTTTCCGATTACGAGGTGAAGGGCTGACCAGAATCCACGGCGGCGATCTCTTTTATGTTCCTTGTGGTGGAAGAACCCAACTAGCGGTTGAATGAACAGGAGTGCGAGGACAAAGATGCCGATGATTGGGTGGTAGTTGAGCTCTTTTTCCCCCATCTTGATTGATGGCAAGTAAGAAGTCAGCTTTTGTCAACGGAAAAGACGCATGTCAAAGCAGGAGTAGGGGAGGAGGGAGGAAGACGCATACCAAGCTCGGATCTTGCTTGATAAGGTGTATACCAAGTCCAACAGCGGCCAAATAGACGAGTAGCGTAAACAGTTGCCAAAAAGCATGGGCGAAGAGGGCCATACGGCCAGGAAGCAAGCGAATGAGCATGGAACCGAGAGGGAAAAGGATTACGAAGGCAAGGGCGGCGATAATTCCGTGGGTATATAGGTAGATCGGGTCAAGTCGGCCGTGACCGTCATCCGCTCCCTGAGCGACAGGCGCATTCTGACCAGACCCGGGGAAGCCATAGTGGTTGTGAGCATCGGAGTGACCTTGGACGGCGAGAATGGAGGAACCTAAAGTCGGGTCTAATTAACAAAAGCCAAACAGACTCTATAATCGGAGTTTGAAAGGAAGGCAGAGAGTCTGGACTTACAAATGCCAACGAAGGCGGCAAGCCTTGCCGCTGAAAGGAACGCCATTGGTACGAGTGGAAGTTCACCTCCGGTCGTCAGTATGAGCTAAAGATGGCGATGGTAGTGATCCAGACCTGGACAGGCGTGTCATCGATGTGGAAGAGTAAGCCCGCCAATACAAATGTCACTCTGCGACGAGCAAAGAAGCTGGGCCAAGCAAGAATAAAGATGGTGAGACCTGAAGCAACGGGAGAACGCCGCGAGCCTCCTGGTGCTATCTCAAGCAAGCTTCGTTTGGATGCACTTTCCCTCGGTATTCCTCATCGCACAGCAGTTGGGAAGTTGCGGCTCAAGTCCATCCACTCGTTCGCCTATTTTACACGGCAGTTGCATTCAGTTTCCCATGCACTTGCCTCACTGACACTTCACCACTGTTCCTCCAGGGGCATCTTCTCAGGTAACCTCAGCCAGCTGTGATCCAAGACGGAAGCTATCATCCTCACTGCCTCGATGCAAATAGGGCTTCGTCACTTCTTCCCTTTCAGCTTGCCACGCCCACTGCATCAACCACTCTCCGATGCTCAACGGATGAATGGAAGGGAAGCCGTCCTCCAATACCTGTACGACACACTGCACTTCACAGCACATCATAGGAAAGGACCGCCGCCAGACTAGAGAAGCTTTGCTGACGGAATGCCCCAAACAGCGACTCGACGAGCCTCAACGGCCCAATGACGCGGACTCGTCCCTGTGGTGTAACACGCCTTGAAGCCTTCAATAGGAGAGATGCCCTCAATCCCAAACCCTGATCGGGGACTTTTGTTCGATACCAAGTCTCCAAGCGGCATAAACGTGGGAGCATGGCTGCCAGCTGTGTTTCCCGTCTGCCGGTCGGTGCCGAGACAGTGGGTTTTACTCCCGACCCGTTTGTCGTTGCTGTCGACCAACATCATGATTGCTGTTTCCTTAGTACCGATGGAGCCAAGGGTCACCAGTTTACAATCGGTTTTTGGGGTGCAGCTCATCAAGTTGGTTGGTCTTGAAGTGAGGTCAGATTAAAGCAGGTATCATAGATCACCATGATCTCACCAAACTGGGCGATCTTGGCTCTTCACAGCCAGTTACGTTGAGATGTTGGAATCCGTGAGTCGCGCAATGATGTACACGCACATCCAGCACATCGCTGAACATCATCGACAGTTCTGTCGGTACCTACCGAAACCCTGATCAACCTGATGTGCGGCAGATCAACCGGCCGACGGCTTAAAACAAACAACATATCAACATAAACACGAACACAGTGAATCGCATGGAGCTTAAAAGCATCAACCAAGTGTGTGATTACCCGGGTTAGGTATTATCCTCAGGAAGAAGTGAAATTCAAGCAAGACGCCCTAAAAAAAAAGTCCCCGGCAAAGCTCATCTTCCATCCATCCACCATGTCTATATGTTCTCGTGTATATGGTATAATACTACTATGCACATAAAAAGCTTATACTCAAACAACGCATCGCGTCGCCTGTCATGCCATGCACTCAAGCTCCCAACAGCCCAACAGTCAGTCTGTCGCTAAATTTGCAAATAAAAAACTAAAATTTACAAAGCAACAGCACCAACAAGGGTGAAGAGGACAGCAAGACCGGTGACGACGAGGGGGCCTTGTTCAGGGGACCAGAGACGGCGAAACCAGCAGCGCTGTCGGTGGCAGAAGCGGTGGAGGAAGCGCCGGAGCCGGAGCCGGAGCCGGAGCCAGAGCCAGAGCCCGAGCCGGAGGTGGGGGAGGCATCGCCGGCCCACTGGGAGCCGGCACCCTCGAGACCGGGACCCTTGCCGGCGCCGTTCTCGAGATACTATTTCGATCAGTTAGTTTCAATTTCAACGCGGTTGATTTGACAAGTTCAAGGGGGAAAAGAAAATCTTACCTTCTTGGCACCAGCAGGCATCTCAGGAAGGGTGTCGTCCTCAACAAGCCAGTCGTCATCCTTGGGAGGGCAGTCCTGGGACTTGGTCTCCTTGGCGTAACCGCCGTCACCAGAGGGGGCGGGGTACTTGGCGAGGGCCTTCTTGTAGGCGTCGAACTCGGGCAGCTCGATGCGCTTGCCGGTCTGGTCGGTGATGTCCTTGCCCTTGGTGATGTTGACGATTCCGTATCCGTTCTCCTCCATGGTGTACTCGTACATGAGACCGCCGGAGTAGACGGCGGTCATCTTCTCCTTGTCCATGAGGGCGCTGACCTCGCCAAAGTCGCGGCCGTTGGTGGTGCAGCCGTACTCGGACAGGAAGATAGGCAGGCCATAGTCGGTAAAGTTCTTGACCTTGACGTCCCAGCCCGAGGTCTTGAAGTTGCTCTTGCACCACGAGTAGTCGTTAAAGGCGAAGAAGTCGGAGCGCTCCTCGTCGGAGCCGCAGTTGAAGTACTTGGCCGTCTGCATGCGGTTCTTGGACACGTCGGCGGCCGAGTAGCCGACGGGGATGGGGCGGTACTTGCGCGCCTTGATGTAGGCCCTCATGTCGCGGTCGGTGGCCTTGACATAAGGAGCCGCGAGCGTGCTCTCGGCCTCATCGTGGATGACCTCGTTTCCGGAGAAGAAGGCAAAGGTGTTGTCGTACTGGGCGAACTCGTCGATGGTGGCGAAGACGCTCTGCAGGTAGACGGCGTTGTAGGAGGGGTGGGGGGTCTCGCGGTTGATGGAGTACAGCGGGTTGTTGACGTCGAGGGCGACGTAGATGCCGGCGTCCGCGAGAGCCTCCATGCACTCCTTGTGCGACTTGGAGTTGTCGGTAGAGTAGACACGGACAACGTTGATGCCGAGATCCTCGAACCTCTTGATATCCTCAAGGCAGATCTTGGGGTCGGCAAGGGGGTCCTAGGAGATTGTGTTAGTCGACCAGTTATCATGTATTTCTGATGATGGTGGGCATTCGTACAAGGTTGGCAGAAGAGCCACCGGGCTGGTAAGCGATACCGCGAACGTAGAATCTCTCGTCGCCCTTGAAGAAGGCGTTGCCCTTGGTGGTGATGGGGGTGACGGTAGCACGCTTGGAGTTCTTGGCAACACCGGCATTAACGGCGCCAGACGCCGCGAGGGCGGTGATGATGATGGTGGAACGCATTTTGATGGTAAAGGTTGTCCAGAAAAATAATAATCGTTAGGTATTCAGATGGCTCAGGCGGCGTAATGGGCGGGAAAGGGTTGTGATTATAGACTAAAGATAACGCGATTTAAAATGCCATACAAACGAGCGCTATGGCAGTGAGGGTGAAGAAAGAGGCAACAAAGAGAGGTTGTTGCGGAAGAGAGGGGTTTAGCGACAGACTGATGAAGAAACAACAAAAGCCAGCGATGAATGGTTTTAAGAAGAAGAAGAAGAAGAAGAAAGAGAGAGTCAGCACATTCTCTCGTGTTCCCAGGGAGAAAAAGGGAGGTTAAAACCGGGTTCGGGAACCAATGTTGGCTGGCCATGCATAGCCACCATCCAAGACGAGGTAAGACGCCAGCCAATGCCAGCCATTTGGTGACAAGAATCTTGGGATTTCTTGGAAGCCTCTTGGAATGCCATGGAGCCAATAGGCTGTCGCCGGCACAGCTTGGCCCAATGTTATTCAGCGATTCCCTGGTAAAACCCGTGTTGGGAACGTCGGCGTATCATGGCAATCCCGTCCTCCCAGTTCCAGCGAATGGCCTCCATTTGCTCCATCTGCTCCATTCTTGGTTTCCACTATTTCCAGGTGAGCTGGGCTCTCGACACTCCAGACTCCGTTGCCATTTGTGCGTTGTGAGGTGATTGTGGACTTGGTGCATTGCTTGAAGTCACGATAGGAACCGCTAGATTGCTGCAACGTGAGGATGCTCTTTCAATGTGGCTAAGATGGGCTAGAAGGAGGAGGCTCAATTGCGTGCGCCAAGGTATACCAAGGTTCAGAAGATTGGAAGATTGATACCGCCGCCAGCTCATTTCGCGGTTGATCAAACCCCATCAACCCAAGACAATGGGCTGTTGTCACCGACCGTCGTGCATACATGTACCATCAGTGGCTGCCAAGAGCAAGGAACCGTAACGTACCAAACCTGGAGCGCACCGTTCATCCTGTCCATCAACTTGGGGCATGGCATGTGGATGGGGGGTTGTTTGGGGAGGTTTGAACAAATGATTGAACTCGGGGCAATCAAGAACCAGAGATTCCAGACGTTGTTAGAAATGCCTTTGAGTCCCCCAATCAACATTCATCGAACCTTGTTTTGGCAAGCTTTTGTCGTCGAAGATGAAACACGAGTTGGATGAAATGAACCAAGCAATCCTCGAGTCTGAGGTACCTTATCAAAAACGAGACGAGCGGGAGGCCGGAGATTGGACATGAGTGGTAAAAACCTCCAGGTCCTCCACTTCTCCAAATCCTCCTCCATTCCGCTTTGATGAAATCAGATCCATGAAATACCCCGTCTGAGTCCCGACTCTTCGTGATGATGGAGTCGACTCAAATCAACCGAGTCCATCCAATCTTGGAATTTGAACCAAAAAGACGGACTCCATCCCAGAATCCGAATCCCTGGCTCCTCAAAAAGAGGGCTCAAACAACGGAGCCGAAAATGAATTTACCCCTGGCGGGCTGGCACTGCTTGGCAACCCGCACGTTGCAGTGGTCCGCGCTGTGACAGGCTGTGACAGGTGCGTCTAATCTCCTGGAGTGGACCTACCGGCTAGCTGCCGAAATGGATCGCCACCCTCCATCGCCCGATCTGGACCGACACCTCATTTGGCGGCTTTTCTTCCTTACCTCAAACCCTAACCCTTTAATGTCCTGTTGTCGAGATTAGGGAGTTGACGGAGGCAGGTAGTGTGGGTGGGCGAGGTGGTGTAAAGTACCCGACAGCTATCTCCCCTCGAGGTCTGGGGAAGCGGATATAAAAAATCGGAAATCACTCCATTTTAAGGTTTGGCAAGCTTGATATGTGGTCAGAATGATGATACCATCTCCGGCTTCCAGAATCATGCCTACCTATGGTAGCATGGATGGAGAATGAAGTGTTATAAGTCAGCGTCTCCCAATCAAGAAAGACCGAAAGAGTGTCGGCCCTTTGCAACAAGAACCATGCCTCTATGTAATGCGCAAGAGAGGATATGACGATCGGCCAAAGTCTTATTATCCTTCAACGTCTTCGCTCCGGCTGGGTAACTTTGCCTCAACCCGAAGAGATGGGAGAGTCTGGGACTGGATGTTCGGTGTTCCTCCAATCACTCTCGGATCCAGGCTCCGTGGATGAGGGTCAGTGACTGACGTTCCACATGGTAGAACTGGGAAAGAGGAAAGATGCAGCTCTGTCTAACTTTGCGGTTTTGTTTGGCAAAACTTCCCTGGGTCAGCGGTCACCTCAGGTTGCACGAATACGGCGCCAGACGCCGTACATGATGGGCCCCCCAAGATATGTTTGCTGCAATGCATATGTTGTTTCTGGCCTCCCGGTGAGGCAGCATGTCGGCATCAACGCGGGTAGGTATGTCAACGGCGCAAGTTGATGTGCCGAGTAATCAACTCCAGACAGAACTTTTTGCACATACAGTCAGCCCTACCCGTCAGCTGATTACCCCCAAAGTTGAGAATGGTGATGCCCAATGTTGCGATTGCCCAAGCACAACACCATGGTGTAATTTGCCGCTATGCAAGATACCGTTGCTTTCTCAGTAAGTTACAAAGCTAAAGCAGCTCAAGTTCCAAACCTGGAAAAGTCCTCAGAGCTGATCGACCGAATTAGCAAAGTCTCGCATCAGTCTTACATGATAGTACCGTCAGTAGAAAGATGTAAGGGAGTGTACAATTCGATCAAAACTGTCTCGGAAACCATTGCTTCTTTCCAAGCACGCCGTTGAGCCCAAGTGTCAGAAACGTGGTGTGGAGAGTAAAAGCTCACCACAGGTTGCGTACCACGCAGTGTCTCAGACCCTCCCGTTCCGAGACCTATCTTGCCTCGGCCGTTGCGAAATATCACAAAATCCGTGCGAAGGAAAAGCAAAAGCTTCGACAATGGTTTGGCGTCGAAAATTGCTGATGTCGGTGTTATATATCCTGAGTGCTTTGCCACTCCTTTCTAGTCGAGGGAGCTTTTGGGAGCAAGATCTCAACTCCATCCCTTTCTCGTCCTCAAATCCTGAAGTACCAGCATCGGTATCATCGCCAGCCCCAAGAACCAAGTACAAACAAAAGCCAAGAGAGAAGAAGAAGAAGAAGAAGAAGAAGAAGAAGAAGAAGAAGAAGAAATCCATCACAATGCTTTTCTCCGAGATATTCGTCATTGTCGTGGCCTGCATCATGTGGGGTCTCACCTCCCTCGGCATGGCAGTCTACTACCACCGCCTCCTACCACTCGAAGCCCGCGGCGCTCGCCCACCCTTCAAACAGCAGCTTCCTATCAACACTCGTTTCAACCCTGCTCTTCATCGCCGCCTTCCTGTTCTGGCCCATCATCGCCCTCTGGAACCTTTGCGCCCGATCTCCCTCCATCGTCAGGGGGACGAATTGCTGCGGTTCATACATGTTCGGAGGCAGACCCAAGGCCGGATGCTGTGGGTGCAGTTGCATCTCGTGCGAACCCTGCATCAGCGACGAGGTGTACGAGATGGAGAAGACCCGAAAGGAGGAGTCAAGACGGATTGTCCAAGTTCAAAGTGTGCAACCGGCCATGCAACAGACGATGGAGATGAGGCCGTATTCTGCCACCCCCACTGCCCAAGAGAAGCGGGTCGTCGAGAGCAGCGAGTCTCTGACTGAGAGCGCTCATACAACACCGAGAGTCGACAAGGATTGATGCAGGATGGAGGCAGACAATCTGCCGTTGCCGGCAATGGAGAGGGCCTTGGTATGGGTTATAAGTCTGGGGTTGCGGCCGGGGGAGGGTGCGATATCACCAAGGTTAGGAGAGATCGGCAGGAGTTCCCGTCTGTCCTAGTTACAGTACCTGGAGATTCCGGGGGAGATTCTGCAGAATGAGAAGTCATCATGGAAGCTCAGTGTAGGGGTATATAAGAAATCTTGAGTGCGCTCGTAGGTTGCTCCCGTTCGACTAGTGAGAACTGAGAAGACGTCAAGGAGAATGGTTAGATAGACGGTTCATGAAGGTGACGTCAAAGAACCTATTTCAACAGTAAAACAAAAGCTGTGGATGTGTGCGAAGAGTAGAACAAATGGTTTGGTCGACATTAATCCTTGAGAAGTTCAAGTCAGCGTCGCCAGCATGGTTCTTGTGTTGGTTTGCTTGTGGTGAGAAAATGAGGACCTGGGAGATTGGTGACTGAAAAGGTGAACGGGCGACTGGCCCTCTTTAGACTGAAATAACCCTAACCCCTACGAGCCAGCGCGATAAGGAGAGATGCAGCTCTTATCTGACCCATTCCAAGCTCGCACATTCCATCATCGGATTCCAGGAACATCCCACTTCCATGTCGCATCCTCTCTCATTGCGACTTCCTTTTCGTTGTTATTCCCAACTCTTCTTGCGGTGTTGACAAGGTTTCATCAGGAAAGAACTGTCGCTTCTTCGACATGACGCCCAACAGTTAAAGGAAGGAAATCGCACATTCAGGTCATCTCACATGCTGCTGCCAGTTCCCCTGTTGGCGAACCAACAAAAGTCGGATTCGGTCATTAGCTCACTGCAGCGGTAACACGTCTGAGTTGGCGACCACTCATCACACGTATGGCCCAGTTGTAACCGTAATCCCAGCCATCTCGATATTCCCTTAATTATTCACGGTACTATACGAGTACTACAGTAGCGCATGTACTTCAGGAGCTGAAGAAAAGGTCTCGGATATTTGCGACGGACTGTTTTTCGTCTGTCGCAACCGCCCAGCTTCACCGGTACTCTTCAGATTCCTATTCTTCCCTTTTCCAGCTTCCTACTTTTGAACATCTGACCCGAAAGACAACCAAAAGTATCATACAACGGACCGACGTGTAATGTCACCATGGCCAGTCATCACCTTTCCTCTAACGTCCCTCGCACCAAGACGGTCCGCTCGACTGGGACAAGCAACAGCAGCTTGAACAAACCTATAGGATTATCCCGGAGCACCGCTTCAGCTACCAGTCACGCCAGTCACACCACTTACACCAGCTCCATTACTAGCGCGACCGGCCCGCCGTCGACAACCAACCCTACTCCGAACAACGTCTAATACCATGTTTCCAACATTTCCTTGTTTCTCACCAACCTTCGATTGCTGGACCTGGATCTGCTCCCGGACTGGCCCGACATCAACGCGGCCACCTTCAGCGTTAAAGATGCAGCACAAGGTCAGAAGAAGCGCATCCAATGCGTTGAATGGGCTCTCTTTCAGCTCTTCAATTTATGGGACCCCGGAGAAACGCGGAACAAGTTGAAACCCTTTTTTCCGCCTCTCGAAAATGTCCAATCCCTCAACTTGCGCGCCGCTCTCGTCCGGAGTCTGGAACAGGCAAAGAAGAATGGCGTACTTGACCGGGATGCGATAGTACGCAAGACAATGCTCGATGAGTGCAAGGGCGACAGGCTGGAGGAGATTCTCGCTGCCTTCTCGTCGGCTGTGCTCAAAAGGGTGGTAGCAGAGCAGCAGCGGAATGACCCACGGAAGAGGCATCCGGCCCTTGCACAAGCGTTGGCACTTGAGGATCGTGGCTATTCTAGCGACCGATCAGAGCTCACAGCTCTCATAGTCGCTCACAGAGCTTCTCTTTGTCGCACTTTGAAAGACAAGAAAGTAATGACGGAGAGGTTCAGAGAGGTTTCCGACTTGCTGAAGATCAAGGAGCAAGCCATTGCTGATCGACGACAGCGAGCTACAGCCTCGCAAAGGAGGCGCCAAAATGAAGGGAAAGAGACTTCTCATGAGGTAAAGCTTGATGTTTGGCGGACCGTGCGAAATAACTGGTCGGGCAATGAGTGGTGGCTGGAGACACTTTTACATGGTGAACGAAATACCCAAAAGGATGGTGTCTTGTCTGCGCCTTTCGATCGAGTCTGGCGCCGCGTCCAAGCTGGTCGCATTTTTGAGCTTGAAGACAAGTCGGATAGTTTGCTGGACGAGCTGGATAACCGAGTGAAGAGTCATGAAGAAAGGCTCCAGAGATGGCAGACTTTCCGCCAGCAGATGTTTGGGAAAACAAACAAAGAGTCCATAACCAAGGAGTCAATGGCAGAGCCCAAGCTGAAGGGGATTAATCTCGGACTGAGGGGACATGAAGGATTACATCGCGGTCGAACCGCGCGAAGACGTACCCTCCTCAATCCCATAACGCCTAATGAGCTTCGGGATGATTACAAGGAAATACTCCGTGGCTTCAAACTGGAGTTGTCTAATGTCGACCCCAAGCTATCCAGTACTCCATCCTGGTTGCAAAAACCAAGAGAGCCGTCACGACAGGAGTTTGATGTGGAGGTGATTTCCGATATTAGTGATCACGAGAGGAACCTTGCCGCAGCGCCTTCTCGAACCTTTCGACAAGAGCTTACAGCAGCCGAAGGTTCGTCATACCAACCTATACTGGAGAGGTTGAAGAGTGTCCACGAACAGGGAGAAGCACTGGCCCGTTCAGATGACATCAATGCCGCAGCTTCAACACGGTTACGAAGACCAGCGACTCAATATGCCAACTATACTAAGATAGAGGAGGGCTCCTCTCGCCTAACAAGGAATCAGCAAAGAGAAGAGGCTACAAGCCCAACACCACCTCAGGTTTCAGTTTCGCCCCCGCGCCGTAGGCCATCGTTAATCTCCAGGAAGGGGAAGCAACCGGAAAAGCTACCGAGCAGTACAGCTTCGAGTGACCGTCCACCCTCGCCGCTGACTGAGCAAGGCCGCCACGAACAGTACAGCTTTCAGCCGTATCCCGAACCCCAGCAGCTAGCTGATCAGATCTTGGCGTCCGTCGATGCTGCCTCGCCTTCACCCCTGAACAAACCACGACACACTCTTTCCCTGGCCGAACGGACGCGTCTGACTCTCGCTCGTCGACATCCACAGGCCGCCGCTCAAAATGCAGAAGTAGACGCCGACGCCGATGAAGAAGACACATACTTCCCACCTATCCGCTCAGCATCTCACAAACGTTCACACACCATCTCCAGTCCTTACAAAGCAAGCACACCTATTGGTACGCCGGATGCCACAAGCAACATCGCTAGAGGCGGAACAGGAGCAGTAGTAGGAAGTTCATCAACCTACGAAGATCTCGAAACCCGCACCCGTCGTTCCATGGCCAACTTCGAGTCCGCCCAAAAGAAGGCTCAGCTGGAGAGACGGCGGTCGGAGCGCAACCCGAAGCAGCTGGCACCGCCGCTAAGGGGTGGTGGGTATTTTCCTGCTGTGGGTGAAGAAGGAGAAGGAGAAGACACAGAAGGAAATTCGGCGCTGTTGTTGGCGGAGGAGCTGCTTAGTGCAGGACAGGATGTGGATTATGATGCTGTGTTTAGGAGTAGGCCGAAGATTGCGATGAGTCCGACCCCGGAGAAGGAGGAGGAGGGAAGATTTAGGGGGTGGGAATAGGGTGATACAGGTGTATCTATCTGTACGTTGAGTTGCTACTGTTCGGCTACATATAATAAAGGAGTGAGTGTAATTCTGATATGAGTAGGAATGGAATAATTGCGTGAGTATGGACTTGAAATGTTGTCCGGACACGTACTGGGTTATGTCTCGTAGAGATAGTTGAATCCTAGTCAATCACCATGTCCAATAGATTCAACTGGGGTTCTTGCATCTTTAAAATATCTGGGTCGCCCTTATGCTTGCGGTATCATGGCTGATCTTGGGTTAACCTATTCTATCACTTACAGCACCAACCGGGGAAGGTTCGTTTTGAGGCTTTCGTTCATTAATCGCAGGAATTCGCGACTGGATATTGTACAAGTTTTTGTCTTCCGGAGGTTTCTTTTGCGGGTTTCAACAGTGTTTTGGCATGGTGGTGGTACATGGACGCCGCGAGCCGACCTCTTTAGTTCTGATCCTCCCGATCCAGTCTAGACTTGCTTTGGTGGTGGTCGTCACCGTCGTCGTCGTCCCATCTCTATCCGTTTCAGCCGCCGCCTCGAATCGCGAAATCTCTTCCACCCAATCTCCCACCTTCTGTTTCCCCAATCTCTTCGGCTTTTTACCACCCCTGGTTCTTCAACTCGAAGGCCCTGTTAACCGCCGCCTTGAAGCCATCCTTGAAGCGAACTCTCCACCTCTCTCTCAGCTTCCTCTTCCTCTTGAGCGCCGGACGCTCGTGGAACCTCTGCAACCGCACATCCTTCCTCACCTGATTCATCGCAACCGCCCTGTTCAGCTGCTTCAGCGCGGTCGCGAAATCCTGATGTCCCGACACGTAGAACGTCCTGCCCGTTGACGGACGGAGGCGGATGTTGAGCTCCTGCTGGGGAGCCATGTGGCGGGTCTCGAAATCGGTCTCGTTCCAGGTCTGCATGGGCGAGGAAGAGTGCCTGGGGGAGTGCCTGGAGGAGTAAAGGGTGCCGCTTCCCGAAGAAGAGGGGGCGCTGCTGTCCTTGTTGATGGCGTCGACGATGGTCCAGGGGTTGTCGTTGGCGGAGGGGGGACGGGGAGGGAGAGCAGAGGAGGATGAGGTGGTGGTGCCGCCGGGCTTCCGGTTCGCGAGAGCCGCTCGGAGAGAATCGATGCGCAACTTGCCCGAAACGTAGGGGTTGGGCGGCGGCGGGTATTGCGCGCGGGCGCTGGTAGAGAAGAAGGCAGTATGGCGACCGACGACCATGTTGGGCCGGGCGGCGCTGGCCATGGAGGCGGCCGCTACCGTCGTGCGGCAGACGGACTGGAGTGCTGAACGGAGCTCCATGATTGCTGGGCCTGTTTACATGGTGAAGAAGAAGGAAGCAGTTAGTAACTTGATGATGATGGGGACAGCTCAGGTAAAGTAAGGCGACCACTGGGGAAAGCAAAAGGGTGGACTGGACTAACTCACTCAATTGGTCATGAACTGGCTGCTCCGTCCGGTCGCAAAGAGGGCAGCGGCTTATCGTGCGGTCGATTTTCAGAATCTCAAGAAGCACTCCCACCAACAGCGACGGGGCGGGCACGGTTCGGGGCCCCGGCTCCTGCTAGCGCGTCTAGGCGGCTCAGTTGCCGGTTGACTGTGGCCCGGACTTCCGCGCCAGCTGGCAGGTCTTGCTCTTGGTGGCTGGAGCGTCGGGCTGAAGCGCAAGAGTTGAACCGTTTGCGCCACATTTACGCAGCGTCGCAGCTGGTCGCGGTTGCAGTGAGTGCAGCCATCCAATTGACTGGGTGGTGGCACTGGGCTTTGACCACCCAGAACTTTAAACTTCCTGGACAGGTCCACCGACGCTGCAAGTTGCCAGTGCGCGTCCACGCAAGTCAGTGACCGGGGCGGTTGAAGTTTTGGCGAACCATCAAACAACTTTCCCATTCAACTCCAAACTGGAAACTGTCACCATCCAGTACTACCAACAATCCTCAACGAGCCGTATATCCCGCTGTATTGACAGTACATATACGACAATTTGGAACGGATTCGCTCCGAATTTAGTGTTTAGACCAACCGCGACTTTTCCACCGCCCAGTACAGCGCCGTCTACTCTATTACAACCACACTCTTCCCAGTCTCATCATGGCGTATAATCCTTATGGAGGTATGTCCCAATGTTGAAAACCCCTTTGATTTGAGCGCCTGGGAACGCAGTCCCTGTTACACTGGCGCTAGGAATATACTAACAATGTCGTTTCGTTTGTAGCGCCGCCTTACGGCCCCCCGCCGACCTTTCCCGCCTACCCAGGTGTGCCTATGGCCCCGGGGATGGTTCCGCCGCCCGGTCTCGGTAAGCTTTCTGCCCGGAAACAGCCCCTTCTCAATGTCACCTAACCTCGTACTGTCTACAGGTCCTCCACCAGGCATGTCCTCTGCCCCCGGATTGGCACCACCTCCTGGTGTCCAGCAGCCTCCTCCTGCTACTCAAGCTAATCGACCAAGCGGCCTACCTGCCTCGTTCCAACCACCCCCAAACTTGAACATCAACTTTAATGCTCCCGTAATTCGCCTGGGCGCATCTTCCCTTCCCAACAAACCCGGCATGCCCCAGGGCAACGACCGAAAGGATTCGCATACCCCGACCAGTGCGAATCGCCCGGGTCTCGGCTCCGATCGCGTCGAACAGTCCCGTGCGCAGCTTAGAGAAAGCATCCAGAACCTTGTCCCCCCGACACCGGAGGAGAGGCTACGAACGATATTCCTGCACAAGATTCCCGATGGCCTCGCCGGCGAGGAAGGCGTCCAAAAGCTGCTCAACACGGTTGGCAGGCTGCGGAGGTGGGACTCGGGCCACTCCCACTTGACGGAATTCAAGGGGGCATTGTTTGGTTTTGCACAGTACGAGGACCCCGATTCGCTAGCCATTGCTGTGGAGTTACTCAAAGATCTCGAGGTCCCCGTGAAGAAGCAAACACCGACCGAGAATGAGCCCCCCAAAGACGACGACGAGTCTTTCGCCGCCGATATCGACAAGGTCAAGCTGAAGGTCGAGGTTGACGCGAACACGACCAAGTACCTCGAGTCTCGCAAGGAGGAGAGAGGGGAGGACGCGGCCTTTGAGGCGAAACTAGGTGAGGCCAAGGTTGCACTCAAGCAGTTTGTTCGAGACCTCTTTTACCCGCGTCTTCGCACTGGACAGGACGCCGACGGAGACACCACCATGGCCGATGGAGCAAATGCTGGTGGAGATAACGTTGAGGTTGTCAACATTCCTCTCGCCCAGGAGGACGAGCTAGCGGATATTCCAGCCGAGATGCGCGAAACCGTTGCCGCCGAAATCGCAGCTTTCAGAGACAGGAGCAACAAGCGCGATCTTGAGCGTCTACGTCGGGAAGAAGAATTTGAGGAGAGGGAACGTCAAAGGAACGGAGCGCCTCGCATTTCACGCCTGGATTCTCCTCCGCCTACGGATGCGGCGAACTCAAATCACGTCCCGCTTGGTCCGCGTGGTGTGCCTAATGCGCCATCAGGACCTCGTGGGCAACAAGGCAGAGGTGTTGAGTTTGTTGGTGGCGGCACATCGAATGGCTATACTTTCAAGGACGAGGACGACACCGATGCCGATGACGACGAACTTTACCAACGCGAAGTCAACAAGCAGAAGGCAGAGGAGGAGAAACTCTACTTGGAGGCCGAAAGGAAATGGGTTAACCGTGAACGCCAACGTGCAGCTGCTCTCGAGCGCGAGAAGGAGCGCGAGAAGGCGGAAACTGAAGGGTTCGCCAGGAGAAGGGAGGAACAGCTCGAGAGGGGGAAGAGCTGGGACGACGAACGTGAGGCAGCCCGTAAACATCACATGTACTACCGCGACCACCCGCACTGGGTCAGGAAACGACTACAGGAACGTAACGACGAGCAAGCACGGGATGAGATGGATAGGCGGGCCGAGGAGGACGAGAGGCGCAAGGCCGAAGCAGAGATGGAACAAGCCAGGGGTATGGCCGACTCCTTCCTCGAGCGGCAAGCCGAGGAAATGGAGAGGCGGCCGGCTGCGGCCCCGGCTGCGCCCCAACGGTTTACCATTTCCTTCGGCGCAGCGGCTCAAAAGGCAGCACAGCGTTCTGCCGGCGCCCGCAGAACAGTTGCCGAAGTTGAAGGTCTCCTGGACGACGAGGAACAGGAGCAGACCACCAAGCGGCAGCTTGTTCCCATCAAATTCGAGCCTATTACTGACACCAAGGCCATGTCGGAGGAGGATCTGCAAAAGGCAGTGCGCGCTTTGGCGCAAGAGATTCCTGCGGATAAGGAGGGGCTCTGGGCTTGGGACGTCAAGTGGGATTACCTCGAAGAATCCATCATCAGCGAAAAGCTTGGCCTTTCGTGGAGAGAAGGTGGTGGAGTATCTTGGTGTACAAGAACAATTCCTTGTTGACGTGGTGGAAGAGCACCTGCGCAAGCATCAAAAGCCCGACGAGCTGGTGGAGACGCTGGGCGAGGCTCTGGACGAGGACGCGGAGGATCTAGTGAAGAAGTTGTGGAGGATGGTGATCTTCTTTACGGAGAGCGAGAAGCGTGGTTTGCCCGCTTAGAAGAATGTCTGGGGAGCCGATGACAGCGGGTTTCTCTGTCCGACGGTCTTGTGTGGTCTCTCTTGAGGTCCATGACACAAATCACGAAATATCAAGGCCTGGAATTATGCGGTATGTGCATTGTAGAAAAAAACAAATGCTTGTAGGATAGTATCGCTAAGCACCTAAGCGTTGGGAACGCTAATTGACATTTTATCAGCGAAGTGCAAAGGTGTTGGTGTTGGTTCGTTGATCCGACGTGCCTCGGCAAATGCCCACAGATCTACTCCGACAGCGAGGGGAAACTCCAGCATTGCGCCACTTGCCCGCACTTAACCCGGGTTGAGTCGCAGCCGCTTTTGAATCAATGATCCAATAGGGCTTGGTACAATCGGCATTTGGGCGTTGTCCTGCGTCAACAAATAGGTCCACTGGGAACCGTTATGTTATTGACTTGTTCACTTTCACATTTGTTTTGCTTCAATTCCCCTTTTGCCATATTCCATTGTTGTCATCTCGATACTTGGACATTCAATCTTGCTCACCTTGTCACTGAGAACCCAAGTAAACATCAACCCCTGAAAGACTCACAAAAACAATCAATTACGTCACCCACCTCTCCCAGGCTTCAAACACCAACGAACCACCACCACCAATACCGAAAACGAAAACAACAGTCATGTCCACCCAAAACTTCAAAACCCCCCCTCCCAGCGTCCCCAACACCCTCCTCTCCTTCCCAGCCCCGCACGTTCTCCTGGTCACGCTCAACCGCCCTGACCAGCTCAACGCCATCCCGACGCCTCAACACAAGCGGCTCGCCAAGCTGTGGGACTGGTTCGACGCCGAGCCGACGCTGCGGTGCGCGGTGATCACGGGTGCTGGACGCGCCTTTTGCGCCGGTGCCGACCTGAAGGAGTGGAATGAGTTGCATAGCAAGTTTCAACAGAAGGAGAAGGATAGACGAGAGTTGGTGGATGGGGTGGAGCACGGGGGGCAGTACGGGGCTGCTGGGAAGACGAGGGAGGCGTTGCGGGATGCTGCTGCTGTCCGGGCAGCTGAGGGGAAGAAGGGGGTTGGTGCTGCGGGAGGAGGAAGTGATGGGTTAATCACTGGCATCGGCGGTGGGTACGGGACTGTACCGAACAGGAAGGAAGCACTCCGGAACGCGGAGGGTGTGAAAGCCGGTCAAGAGCCGGATGCGCCCGCGGAGAAGATTGCCAAGGAGGGCCGTGCTAGGGACGGCAAGATGAAGGATCAGGACCGGCTGATGACGGGTATCGGAGGGGGTTATGGGACCGTGGATAACAGGCGGCAGGCCATCTCGAGCGCTGATCAGCTAACCGAGGAAGCGCAAAAGGGCGACCTCAATGACGTGGACGACGCCAGAATCACCACGGGCATCGGCGGCGGTTACGGCACCGTCGCCTCTCGCAAGGCCGCCGCCGCCGCCCGGCTTGCAAACGACTCTTCCCGCGTCGGCAGCCTCGGCCTCAACGCCGGCTTTGGCGGGCTGTCCAACCGCTCGGGCAAGAAACCCATCATTGCTGCTGTCAATGGTCTGTGCCTGGGCGGCGGCATGGAGATGGTCATCAACTGCGACATCGTCATCGCGTCTTCCAACGCGCGGTTCGGGCTGCCCGAGGTCAAAGTGGGTGTTATTGCCGTTGCCGGCGCGCTGCCCCGTCTGGTGCGCACGGTGGGGAAGCAGAGGGCTGCTGAGATGGCGCTGCTGGGGAGGAACAGGTACTCGGCGGAGCAGATGGAGAGGTGGGGGGTTGTTAATTTCGTTGTTCACGGCGAGAAAGCCTTGGTCGAGGAGGCGGTCAAGCTGGCGGAGGAGATCTCGAGTAACTCGCCTGATGCGGTGCTGACGAGTAAGGAAGGGCTGAGACTGGGCTGGGAGGGGTTGGGGCCGGAGAAGGCGACAGCGGTGTTGGAGACGGGCATGTATAGGAAGCTGGAGAAGGGGGAGAATATGAGAGAGGGCGTGGCGAGCTTTGTGGAGAAGAGGAAGCCTGTCTGGAAGGATAGTAAGCTGTAGTTGCAGTTTAATCGATGGCATGGACAATTCCATCAATGGATGGAATATGAATATGTTTTGGAACTTCTGAAAAGAAATGAGATTGGATGGCATTGGAGTCACAGAGCTGTGTATTATTTACCCCCTATCATTGACTCGTAGAAGTAGTCCTGAGGCGCGATGTGGACTGGTCAACGACCATACTCCTATGGTATCAGATACCGTAATGGCCGTTCCCTATCCCAGGATATATCCGAGTCCCGGACATGTCTCTACGTCGTGGAAAGATGTCACCTCCACCTTCCTCCACTTCCCCGGATCATCGCCAATCTTACTCCGCACAGAAGCCGATGGTGACAAGTCCGCTGTGGGGTAGCTTGGGGCCAGCATTAACGGAATGCGGGGAAGTATTTGTTAGGGCATCGTAGGGATTGGAGGTGGATTTCTCCGTTGAGACGGCATCCCAATTTCCATCAATGATATCTCGCTTTTCCTCTCTTACCCCAAGGCGCCGGTCAAGACCACACACGATGGTTGCACTGGTTTTCTTTCAACTACGACCTGACCGGCCTGGGAACCGGTGCTGACAACCATGCAAACGTCACTTTGTTCGCCATGTTTACACTACCGAGACAACGGGATAGGTGGGATCGACAGTCACCCAAG